TTCTCTCCACGACTCCATTTTGTTGAGGTGTTTTTACCATGGATCTTTGATGCATGATTCCTTTAATCCCAAAAATATCAGAACAAGTGGAATTAATGAACTCAGTTCCATTGTCAGATCTGACCACCTGGGCTTTCCTTTGGAATTGTGTCTCAATCATGTTTAAAAAGTTAGATACAGCATTCTTGACCTGGTCTTTATTATGTAATAATTGTGTCCATGTACTTCTGGTGTAATCATCCACAATAGTCAGAAAAAGTGTGGCTCCTGTAATGTTGGGCTTTTTGAATGGACCCCATAAATCTATATGAACCAGTTGAAAAGGAGTACTTGTAAATGAGACACTGTTAGGAAAAGGCAGTCTATTGAACTTGGCAAGCATACAAATGTCACAATGAATTCTGTGTTGTATATCAGAGGTACAAACAGAAATATGCTTCATTTTAGACCAAGAAGTATGTCCTAGTCTAGCATGTAAAAGTTCAAAATTACAAGAAGTAACATTCATTCCCAGAATCTCTGAATCGCCTCTGGTTTTGTGTTCAACTTTTATCTTGTATAAGCCATGACTCCTTGACCCAATTGCCACAACCTGATTAGTTGAAGGGTCCTGAAATATGCATTTATCAGGCATGAACAGAGCATTGATGTGTTGAGTATCAATCAGCTTACTAACTGATATCAAGTTGAACTGAAATTCAGGCACATGTAGGACATTAACTAACATCAAACCCAGTGTCAGTACCACATCCCCTGCTCTATTTACTGTTTTGTGAGTTCCATCTGGCAATGTCACAATTATGGGTTTTGGGAGATCATGTATATTACAGAGAATATTCTCAAATGGAGTCATATGATCAGATGCTCCAGTATCAATAATCCAATCAACATTGTTTCCACAACTAACAGAATTAGCCTCAGCAACGTGAAGACTTAAAACAGTGGAAGCCATAGACCAAGTTTTACCTGCAAGGTGTGCATAGGCATGTGATGAACTTGCTTCTGCAGAATTTATGTGTGCCTTGTCTGACATCAGCCTCATCATCTCTTGAGCCACATGTTGAACAAAGCCAGGATTATTCTGAAACAATCCCTGTCCCATATTCATTTCATCCAAAGGACTGTCAGATTGAATGTCTTGGGAGTGTGTTGTGGTATTTGCTGCAAATCTGTTATTCCCATGACCATTTTGTCCTTTCTTTCCTTTAGGACCTTTGAACCAATCTGGATATCCCACAAGTTTGAAACATTGATCCTTGAGATGTCCAGTTTCCTTGCAATATTCACATACTCTTCTAGTCTTCTTAGGATCAGTCTTGTTGAAATGGTTTTGGCGTGGTCCACCACCTTTTCCAGCATATAAGGCCTGTGATTCAGCATCACTTCCAGCATAAGCAGCCATTTCACTTCCCAGAACTTGAATTCCAGTGATTGATTTTTGCCTTTCAACCTGTTGAATGAGACCACAGGCTTTGCTAACTGATGGAAGAGGGTCCATGATCAGTATTTGTCCTCTAACAGTGTCAAAACCTTCATTTAGTCCCATCAAGAATTTGATTAACCTTCTTCGTTGCTCAGCATCTGCAACTTTCTTCTTTGAATCACAGGTGCAGCCATTACACTCGCACAAGCAAGGATCACTGACATTAGTCAGTTCATCCCAAAGTTTCTTCAATTTTGTGAAATACACACCAACTGGATCATTGTTCTGCCTGATGTCTGCAATTTTCTTCTCAATTTGGTAAATCAGGGGTCCATTGCTTTCACCAAATCGCTCCATCAATTCGTTCCACAGTTCCTGTGAGGATGTCGCGTACAAGAAGGCTTCTGCCAGATCAGGTTGAATCGAGTTCAGGATCCAACTAAACACCATGTTGTCGCATCGTTCCCATTGAGCACAATTTGGTGAAGCTGTGTCTGGTTTCCTGCACATTCCATTGATGAATCCTATCTTCATTTTCGAAATCAGAGCAATCTTGATCGATCGGCTCCATGGAATGAAATTTGTTCCAGTCAGCTTCGTTGTAGTAAGAATCATCCCTGGATGATCTGAGTTGTGCAAGAACAGAGGATCTTGCTTATACGTTTGCTCTTCTTCGTTAGCCATTTTCGTCTCAGATTAGGTGCTGGATGAATGATAAAGCACAGGCTCTGATACCATGTAAAGCTAATGGCGAGAGAATGAAAATGAAGAAGAAGAAGAATATCTCGTATTTCATCATCATAACAGGAATACAGAAGCAGTATTTAAAGAGGCATATGAGCCCATCTAACAGAATGCTAACTAACTAACAAGAAGATAACAAACCCCAACTAACTAACAAGAAAGCTGGTAGCCCAAGATATTTGTTGTGGCCCAATATGTATTACATACAGCCCAATATACTCTNTAAAGCTAATGGCGAGAGAATGAAAATGAAGAAGAAGAAGAATATCTCGTATTTCATCATCATAACAGGAATACAGAAGCAGTATTTAAAGAGGCATATGAGCCCATCTAACAGAATGCTAACTAACTAACAAGAAGATAACAAACCCCAACTAACTAACAAGAAAGCTGGTAGCCCAAGATATTTGTTGTGGCCCAATATGTATTACATACAGCCCAATATACTCTACAGACTAGATTGTTTTTCTACTCATTTTTAATTGAATTACCGTATTACTACATCAGTCTCATTGTCTTTGTCTAGTTTTGACTTTTGGAACTGTTCATCTAAGCACTTTGACTTATCAAATTCTCTCAATATGTAAACCTAAAAATAGTCACGTGTGATTTTGTTTAATTTATATAATTTTTTAATATACAAATTACAAGATAAAATGGATTAAAGAAGTGCATTGGATGGTGTGCCAAAAGATAAGTGGACAAAGACCGAGGAAATATTTGATACGGAGTATATTTGTTCTATTCATAAATTCTCTTCGATCTTGTGTGATGTGACAATGTTGGGTGTAATTGTTTTTATTTATATACTCTCTAATTTTTATTGCACAATTAAATGAGTGAAAATTATTTTTATTTAAACAAATAATTTATAGATTGCTCTACGTCAAGTCCCAGCAAATAATTATTTTTATTTAAACAAATAATTTATAGATTGCTCACTAATCCAAAAACCCAATCTCGAGATTGCCGGCATCAACCTTGGATTTCAACCGTTGGTGCTCAAAATAGCTCCAATCCTGTGTGACGGTGAAGGAGATCGAGTGAAGATTGGAGCACTGAACAATCTTGCGTGACGATGAAGGATCGCCGGAAAGGTTGGGGCAGTGAATAATCTCGCAATTACTGGGCGGGGCGATGATGGAGACAACCCTGCGTGAATTTGCAAAATCTTTGCATTTTTTGTCAGATTTTGGACTTGGATTTCAATTTATACCCAAAGTCCAAAATCCACATACTATACAAATTTTTTAAAATCTATTGATTTTTAAATACCATTACATTTAGAAGAGTATTCTAAAATTTGAATTGAATACCTCTAGATTTTAAAAAACCTTTTAAAATTTAGATTACACCCCCTTTATTTTAAGAATCCGATTAGACTTGAGTTCACCTAGCCATGATCAGTTTTAGTGTTGAAGGTTTGGGCTCACCTAGCCCATGATCGATTTAAAGGGGTGTATTCAATTGAGATTTTTTAAGATTTTTTTAGAGTTTAAAAATCTAAGAATTTAGAAATTCGATAGACTCTATAGGGAGTTTGACATACTTTTATATTGATTTAAGTGGATTTTGGTCTGACAAATACTCAAATCAATTATGTATGTAATGTCCATGACTTCGCTGACCTCCACTGACCGACATCCACAACAAAAAGATAATTCATTGATTTTGACACGCAGGGCAAACCCATAAATACCTGGACCTAAAAATGCATGATTCACTTTCTTCTAGTTTGGTTTGAGAACAAAGATATTACAGATTAGACGGTGTATTGGGGTGAAGTTTCGCGACTCAGAAGCCTCACGACACAGAGGGGTACAGGTCGTCGGGAAGAAGATGAACAGTGTCATAATAAGGTCAATTAGTCTTGGCTATGGTGACGGGCTACTGTAGAGAGAAGTCTCGGCCGTGCGAAAGAAGAGTCTGACAAAATCTCAGGGTTGTTTGTGGGATTTGGAACCTAATAAAAAAGGCAGGGAAATCCATCAAAATCCACCTAAGTAAAAATTTTAAAAAATTCTATCAACTTTTAGATACCATCATATTTGAAAAGATTTTTTAAAGTCAAAATTGAATACACCTTGATTTTAAATAATTTTTAAAAATCTGAATTGAATACCTACGTATTTTAAGAATCCAAAACAATCTATCAAAATCCTAATTTAATACACCATCACATAGAGTAATGTTTAGCACCCACCATCACATGGAGTAATGTTTGTGACTTTGTGTACATCAATAAAGAAAACATTTTTTTCCTCTGCACTCTCAAATTTAAATGTCATAGGGATTTCTTGTTTTTTTGAACCGGAAATGGCAGCCGCCGACGACGAAGAGGCTTCAATGTTCCTAACTGTTCCGGCAACAACCGGGTATTATTCTCTTTCTTCCTCTCCTCTTTCTATCCAACATTTACCTGTTTTTTTCAAATGCTTGTTCTTTTCTTTCATTTGCTTGGGATGCCAGGGGGGTTAGACACAAGTGCCCGGCATGCTTCAAACAGTACAAGAAAAAGGAGCATCTCGTTGAACACATCAAAATTTCTTGCCATTCTGTTCACGATCCCAAGTGTGGGGTGTGCCAAAAGCACTGCAAATCGTTCGAATCACTCAGGGAACACATCATAGGTGAGGTTATATGCGGTTTCTATGAATACCCTTTAGGAAAAGTTTCAATCTTTATGGGTGTTCTTGAATTTCTTCGCTTCTGGAACCTTCAGGCCCCTTGTCCAAGGTTATCTGCTCAAGAATCTTTGCAGAAAGAGGTTGTTCTCTGTGCTTGAGGCTATTTGACTGTTCTGAATCCTTAAGCCAGCACACAGATATATGTTGCCTTCCAGCTCCTGCACCTATTGTAAGGGGGATATATTATTCGAACTCATTCAAGAAGGAAAAAAAAGGCAAATAGAAGGGGAAACTCAAATTTTTCCGAGTTCGAACTACTTTAATTTATGCCTTTCTATTGTAATGAATACTAAGAACTCAAGATATAACCTAAATCATAAAAAGTGATAATCGAATATAGTTTCCATTCAAAAAGCATTTTCTTTGTCATACCATTTCCCCAGCTCCTAACATGGCCTTGTAAGAAGACACAATGTGGGAAATAATTGAAAAATGGTCAAACTTTCAAGGTAATATATTCAAGGGATGTCATGAAGTTGAAATTCTTTGTTATGGTTTGTTGCAGGGATGTGTTCCTTCTATAAAAATTGAAGTTGACGATTCATCTTTAAGTGACACGAATGAATATGCAAATGGAAGGGAAGCAGTTGCCATAGATTGCGCAATTTTAGGTGGGGGAAGCGATGGATCACTTGATCTTTGTGCTAGGGTATGCCTAGTTGATGAAGATGAGAAGATAATCTTCCACAGCTATGTTTTGCCTCACATTTCTATAACAGATTATAGGTTAGCTGTTATACCACATATCACATAACTAAATTAGTTTTGAGTTTTCCGATGAAGGTGAGAAGTTAGATAGGCATTTTTTTTTTGTTCAGGTATGAAATCACGGGACTTACAGAAGAACACATGAGAGAAGCAACGCCAATTGTGGAAGTAGGGGAGAAGATTTTGGAGATTCTTCAAAATGGAGAGGCAATTTGGAAAGTGAGAATGGATGGTGGAAGAGCTAAGGTTCTTGTTGGGCATAACCTCACTCGTTTCTTGGATTGTCTGAGAATCTATTATCCCGACCATTTGCTAAGGTATAAAGCTTTGTGACAATTTTTTTATGCCGCTCTATGTTTATCCCGATTAGTGTTTTTATGGGTCTCTTGGAAACAAACTCTCCACTTCATAGTAGTCCCTACTTCAAAAGCACTATTTTGTCTAAAGATAAATATATCTTCTCAAAGAAAAACATGTTTTTGCATCATCTATGAATGAATTCAAATATCAGGGAGTTAATAAGGCTTCTTGTTTCTCCATTTCTGTTTTTTTTGCAGAGATACTGCAAAGTACCAACCTTTGGCAAAGACAAATTTTGTCAGCCACACTTTCAAGTATCTCGCCAAGACTTATCTAGGGCGAGTTACCTCAATTCTACTCTGTAATTGTTTGTTAATTCAAGAGCCCGTTTGATATGGCTCAAAATGGTTGAAGTGACTGCTGAAGCATCAACTATGCCAACCAAATGGGGTCTTAGTGGTTTTGAGCGAAAAAATTGAATCATCCCTTAGCTCAATAAGAAATCTGCTAAATGATTCAACAGGTACGCCATCCACGAAGGAGTGCACGATGCATACCAAGACTGTGTCACTGCGATGAGGCTGTATAAGAGAATGAGGTTCCAAGATCACGGTTTGGGTCAAAATGAAGAAGGCCCACTGGCCTCCCAAGACTCCCCCACGGGCTTCGGTTTGTACAGCTTGATGGAACTTGAGCACATGACACCCGACGAGCTTCTTGAGATTTCTAAACCAAACTACCAATGCTGGTGCTTGGATTCAAGAAGAGCTTCATCTCCATGAAATTCTTTAGCGTACGGGCATTGCAGTAGCGTATATATATCTTGTTGAACAATGTTAGACTGTGAGTTTTGGTTTGGTAACTGATTGTAGCTATGCAGAAAGATTCAGTCCCTCCCATTTTGGACCATTCTTCTTTAACTTGATCCAGAAGATGATGCAGTCCTCTTAATTGAAAGGTTGAAGAGTCATTATTATCTTTATTTTCATACTGATTTGTTGAAGGTGTGGCTAAATAAGGAGTCATCTAGTGAGTGCATGAGATATGACTTCTGATATCTAACGATAAAAATAACTTTTGTTAGTGTTTGGTTAATCCTAAATAGGTTTGGATTTGGCCCGATATCACAAAACCAAACCAAACAAGAGTTGTTTTGATTTCCCTCGAATCCCGAGCGTCGATTTCTCCCTCAATCGCGCTTAAAAAAAATTTATTTCGGATTTTGGGGTCATATCATTTCTAAAAATTTCAGAAATCATATCGTATCAATCTTGCTTCTTCGGTGTAAGTACTAATTTAATTTTTACCAACACAAATACAAAATTATTATACTCTCTCTGTCATAAAATGATTTACCTATATACTATAACGGTCTCTCGACAACTTTTGTTTATTTGCATGTTTTTATTGATTATTAGATAAAATAAAATATTGTTGTAACATCTTATTTTGTAGAACTTTTGATATAGTTTTTAAATATAAATTTTTGATTTTTTTTATTTTAATACCAATTTATAAAGAAAATCATTTTAAAAGTCACAAGATTTTGTACGTTGATCAAAAGGAATAACTTATTTTGGAAAGAATGGAGTAGTAAAAAAAGACTTAGAGGCCCTTGGGGCAAACAAGGGTGGACACGGTATCGATGCGGCCACCAGCAGTTCCGCCACTGTACCGGAGCCAAGCACGGAGGAGATGGTACCCGGTGCTATTATCGGAACCGGTGGACACGGGTCCGATTCTAGGTCGTAATTTTCGCTACAAGAACTGCCGGTACCGGTTTCGTTTTTTTTGTCAGCAGCTTTCCAAGGGTCCAAAGTCCAAAGTGCAGATTCCTTGTAGAACGGCTATTAAAGTCGTTGGGGGTGGGGGGTTTGGGGGTGGGAGGGTCAAATTTAACTTATATATATATACCCATATTTTTTTAAAAAAAATTCACAAATCATATCTTTAATTTTAAAAAATGTAACAACGTGATACCTTTAACCGGTTTTTTGAGAACCTGACCATTGAGTACATGTGTGGCATCCACTTGGCTTCCTAGTTTACGTGTAGCATTCCATATGCCTTCCAAGTTAACTTGTAATTTGTCTAATACTTAATTGGTTTTATAATTGACACAAATAGAGTCAATTTTTTTAAAAAAGGAGTTGAAATTTAATTTTATTTATACAATTTAATTTTTATACTTCTAATTAAAGTGTATTTTACGGTGTGTATTTTATACATTTTAACCCCGTGCTTTCTATAATGTTTTTGTTTTAATTTTAGCATTTTTAAAAATATATAATTTACAATATACTTTGTACTTTAAACATAAGTAGCAATACCATTTTAATAATTGTCTATAGTGTAAGTTAAAATATTTATTTTGAATTTTTTAAAACCATAAAAAGAGTTTTTATAAGTCATCTAAGTATTTATTTTAAACGAGACTTTCATGCAACATCATATTTTTTATATCTTTAAATTATAATTCCAAAAGATTGTAAGTATTTTAAAGTTTAAATAAATAAAAAACTCTGGTCTTTAAGTTACATATAGGCAATTATTTAAAATTTAATTTCTAGGTTGGTTTAAAATATTTTGTAAATTAGAAAAATAATTAAAACACTAAAATTTAAAAATAAAACTTCTAGAAAGCATAGCGTTATATAGTAAAAAAAATAGAATTTGAAATATACCATCATAAAAAGAAAAAATGATATTGTATAAATAAAATTAAATTTTTTAAAAATTAAAACTTGGCTTTATATATGTGAATGCAACATTAATCACATACTCTTGCCGCCCCCAATTTGATTACAATTGTTTTTCTATCCTTTTGATAATTTTTATTTGTTTACGCGATTTAATTATATAAAATATTCTTGTCATCTCTTGTTTTGTAGAAGTTTTGATGTAATTTTTTAATATGTAATTTTTATTTCTTATCAATATATTGATTTGTAAATAAAATGATTTCAAAAAGTATGATATATCTCCCCGTAAACCACCATTTGTAATCAAATTGGGGACGGAGGGAGTATAAGATATGGAGGAAGACCAAAGTGTGACTAAAACATTGAAAATATGCCAAAATAGGACTTCCATGTTTTTATTCCCGAAATAGAATTTATATTACCATACATGATCATATACATTACCAAAAAAATATAGTAATTTGCACATGTACACTGCACATTACAACATGACAAAATTACATTTCCACAGTGCAAAGTCCTATTTCAAAAAAAAATAAGTTACTAGTTAATTTGAAAGTCATATAAAATGTCACGTATTATACGAAGTCAAGTGGATGGCCTCATTTGCACTACCAGCCAGATTTTCAAAATTCCAGCAAGAGGACTTCGTTGTTACATCTTTTAAATGTGGGGCATTTTTTACAAATGGAAAATGATGCACCTTTTTATTACAATCAACAAAATTGGGATACCTTTCAAGTAAAAATTCCATTCTGTTTATATCAAAACATTTTAGTTAAAATTTAGAACGAAAAAGAATTTCATTAACTAAGAAAAGTGAAATGAGAAGATTAAATTTGAACGAAAGAGAATAATTTTTTTAAAAATAATTAAGAAAAATAAAAAAAACATTGTCATCATTTGTCAATGTCAAAGTTAAAAAAGAATCTATGAAAAAAAGAAAATGCTAGGTACCACCACATGGGTGCTACCATGAGTGCACCCATGCTTCGCACAGATAAACACAGACGATAATTGTCTGTGCGACACAAACAATTATCGTCTGTGTTTGTCTGTACGAAGCATGGATGCACCCATGGTAGCACTGATGTGGTGGTACCCTAGCATTGGTCCATCAAAAAAACTGCACAATGAGAGATCAATTGTGAATACCGCCTCCGACATTGACCGGACCTTTGGCAATCGTTTCCCCCCTGACGAACGCATAACCAGAATCTCCGGTGCTCCCTCTCTCTCTCTCTCTAACTTCAAGAAACAAAAAGCATTCTCAAGCGCAGTCGCAGTCTCATGACAAGCTTCGCCCGGTTCAATTCTGCGCTAACCCAACCCTAGGAAGCAATCGAGCTCAATCATGGCGGCGGCGGCAATGGCCAGTTCGTGGGACACGGTGTTGGAGCTCACTAAGATGGCTCAGGACAGGGGGACTGACCCCTTGGTCTACTCCTTCCAGATATCTTCCACCCTCAACGCCGCCGGCGTCTCCATTCCCTCCCCGGACTTCGCCGCCGTCCTCGTCTCCCACATCTGCTGGTCCAATAACGTTTCGATTGCCTGGAAGTTTCTCGAGAAGGCATTGACTCTCAGGGTTGTTCCTCCGCTCTCTGTTCTTGCTCTTCTCTCTACCAGGTAATGAACACTTCAATAAGTATGGAGTAAGAATTTGTTGTTTTTTTAAATTTTAATTTGCTTGCTCTCAGTGGTCTGAGTTTGGTTTCTGCTGTCTCTTGTTACAGAGTAATTCCAAACAGGAAGATCTACCCAGTGGCCTATAGACTGTATATGGAACTTATGAAAAGATATATCTTCTCATTGAAGTCTCTAATTAATGGCTCCAATTATCAACAGTAAGCCCAACTTGCTCCTTTTCTATCTGTTAGAGTCTATTCTACTAGCGGTAGGTTTTAATTGTTTTCATTAATCTTTTTCTGCGTATTTCAACGACGATAAAGTTACCATCAAGTTCAGTCTGTGTGTGTGTGTGTGGGTTGAAATATTTGCATATGAAAATGCAGGATTATGGAGTCCGTCGACCAGACTCTTAGTCTTTCCCAGACTTTTGGGCTTCCAGATTTTGAAACTGGGTTAGTTTTAGTGGAATTTATTTTTAAAACTGTGTGGGAGTTGGTTGATGCATCACTTGATGACGAGGGATTGCTGGAACTCTCTGCTGGGAAGGAATCGATGTGGCCGATAAGAACACAAGATATGGAGATAGACAACCGCGATGCTTGTGATGGGAAGAGGGTGGAACAAAATGAGTTATTCCTTAAAATGAATACCATATTGGCTACTGAAATAGTTGGTGAATTTTTTCAGAACAAAGTGACTTCCAAGATACTTTACTTGGCGCGCAGGAACATGTATGATTGTATACCTTTTTGTATGTTCTCTTTCGTGTTCCATGCTTGAAAAAAAGCTCTTTTATTAATTCATTTATGGATGTGTGGCTCATAAAATGCCGTGTACTTTTCTTTAACGCTACGTTTGGTTCAAAGAATTTGAAAGGGAAAAGAAAATAAAATGAAAGAAAAAAACATCTTTTCTTGATGGGTTAGAGAGAAAAAGAACAAAAACATGGTGAGGAAAAGGAGAGAAAACCTCTTTCTTTTCCTTCCCTTTCGAGTTCCACAACCAAACATAGTGTAAATGTAGAGTACGTTGCATTATTGAATCCATTTCTTCTTGTTAGCTCTCTTACACGGACATGATTGATATATTTATTTCTCATTAGGCCTTCTTACTGGGAGCCCTTTATCCAGAACTTGCAGTTGCTTGCTTCAAACTCAACAGCAATAAGAAATTCAAAAAGCATTTCTCCAGAGGCTCTGTTGCAATTAACATGCGATACAGATGTATTCCTTTCAAGGGATGGTAAAACAAGCACACTACACCGGTTGCATGCAGTAGTTGACTCTTCACTTGCATCTTTTGCCAGCCGATGTCATGGTACCAGTCCATCAGCTTACTGGTTGCCCATCGATCTCTTTCTTGAAGATTCCTTAGATGGGTCACAAGTCATAGCTACAAGCGCTGCTGAAACACTTACTGGTAACGAAAACATCTATTAATACATAAGTTTAATAACATAACATTCATTCAGTCAATGTTAACTGGATTAGTATTGCAGTTCTATAGAAGTTATACTTCAGTTTTGTCAAATGCTAACTAGATCAGTATTTCAGTTCTGGTGAAGGCTCTCCAAGCAGTTAACTGTACTACTTGGCAGGATACATTTCTTGGGCTATGGGTTGCAGCACTGAGGCTCGTTCAAAGAGTGAGTGACTTTTTTTTTCATTGTCTGGTTTTAAAATAGTTGAAAATTTATAGATATCAAAATACCACATTGCACTGAAAATTAAGTGGTAGCTTTGATATTTTCTGTCATTAGTCTACTGAAGTATGCAGTAATTTGAATCGTACTTATTTCTGGTATTACTTTTCACACCTCTAGGAAAGGCATTTGTCTGAAGGACCAGTACCTCGCCTTGATACGTGTTTATGCATGGTGTTGTCTATTACACCCCTTGCAATTGCTAACATTATTGAGGAGGAGGAAAGTGAACTCAACCTCGCCAACCAAGGAAAAAGTTCATCGGGACAGCGTCGCCAAGCCTTAATTTCAAGCCTAAAACAATTGGATGATTATGAAGGATTGTTGACTCCACCACTGCAGGTGGTTTCAGTAGCAAATCAAGCCGCTGCAAAAGCTATGATGTTCCTTTCGGGTATGAGTGTTTCGAGTGGGTACTTTGATGGCATTAGCTTGAACGACATGCCCCTGAATTGTGGTTAGTATTTTTCTTCCATTCCTTAGACACTTTGTAACATGGCATACTATACAATGTTGGTGCCAGTGATTTTTGTGGATTACTTGTAGCTGGAAATTTGCGGCATCTTGTTGTTGAGGCCTGTATTGCCAGAAATGTCCTGGATACATCTGCTTATTTCTGGCCTGGCTATGTAAAAGGTCGGTGCAATCAAATACCTTGTGGAATTTCAGGCCAAGTACCTGGATGGTCTTCACTGATGAAAGGGTCTCCTCTTACTCCTCCAATGATGAGCGTGCTGGTTTCAACACCAGCCTCAAGGTAGGACAATAATTTTAAGCTCAGGATCATAAAAGATACTGCTTTTGCAGCTTCCCTTAATTCATTGTCAAGTTCTTCAAGATGAGTTTATGAAATTAATGATATGTATGTAATCAGGTTCTTAAAAATTAGAAATTGCATGGTGTTCTTGTTCGTTCAAAAGAAATATTATAAACTACTAAGACACAGAGTTAGAGGAAGAAATAGAATCAGAAGTATGAAAATTTTAGGAATTAAATAATATCTTTCATACCAAGATTTAGTGATACACAGTTTGGTACAGAACTGCAAATATTCAGTCTGGTTAAACAAAGTTGGGGGGCTTCTGGCTCTCTTAATGTGTTATTACTTATCACGGAGTACATTTTTTTCGTGATTTTCTTTCTTCCTCATGCATGTGAGCATTTTAGTGTTGCTTAAGCAGCGACAATGCTTCATTGAGACATGATTTAGAAATATTAAGAAACCCATTAATTTCACTCAACAAATGTTTTCTCTCACTGAAATTGTTAGGCAGACACTGCCAAGTGCCAATCCTGAAATTTTATTTTTGTTTTTGAGTCCTGAACTTAAACCATTTAGGTTAACGAGTTAACTACCTTTTTAGGTGATGATAAAACAATTTCATGGCCATTCCAAAATTTCAAATGAAAAGAATGATTGATGCCTGATTAGGCAGTGTATATTCCTTCACTTTTTTTCACAACTATGTGCTCGTCATTTTCATAAAAAAGGAGATATCTGCAGCGACAGTTCACATTAGGCAGTGTATATTCCTTCACATTAGGCAGTGATTTCCCACCATTCCTGTAACTTGTAATGCAACTGAATTTTTGCCGCGTGTGTCATGGAAGTTTAGCAGAATTAGAGAAAATATATGAGTTTGCAGTAAATGGCTCGGACGAAGAGAAGATATCTGCAGCTACAGTTCTATGTGGAGCATCTCTTACCCGTGGTTGGAATATACAGGTAATGTGCATTCTGTAATCCTTTATCCCAAAAAAATTGAGAAAGGTGCATTTTTTAGTCAATTCAAGCAACAAGGCACGGAGGTTTTTAAAATTTATGACTCTTTATAGGGACGAAACTATTTGGGATACATTTCAACATTCACCATTGACTTACTCTGACCATGTTGTTCTATTCTAGGATTAGCCTTGTTTCAATATCCTGTTGAAGTAATTTATGTATTTATTGTTTTTTAATGCAGATTAGTTATCAATACATATTGAAGTATATATTTGCTTTCCTATCTTTTTGCTTGTAGGAACACATAGTCATGTTTATCACAAGACTGCTTTCACCTCCAGTTCCTAAAGACCACACTGGATGTGAAAGCCATTTGATAGGTTGTGCTCCATTTCTGAATGTCCTTCTTGTCGGAATATCATCGATCGATTGTATGCAGACTTTATCCTTGCATGGATTGGTAGGTTGATATGTTACCTGAAATTGTATTGTACCCAGAGTATTTGTCCTGTTTGACTCTTTTTTTGACTCTGCATTGCATATTAATACAATGAAATGAATTTTTGAAAGTTTTATGCAAGATATATTTAATGAAATCATTTTTGTACTCAGATGCAATACAATTTTTATTTATTACATCCATCCCAAAATAAACATCCCACTTACTCCCTCCGTCGATGTTCCAAAATTGATCAAACACGAAGATAAGGAAAAGTGAAATTGTGTCGTTGAAAGTGGTGCAGAGGATAGAGAAATAATGTAAGCCACAAAAGGTTTACTTAATTTGGAAAGTGGAACCTTGTTTTGGGAGTTGGGACGGATAAAAAAGGCATTGTGGAACATTATTACGGGACAGAGGGCGTACTTATTTTGATTTGTCCCAAAATAAAAGCCCATTTTCTTTTTTGGTAAAATATATGTGGCCATCATCGTTTCTCTCTTTTTCAAATCAATTCCTACCACACTTCACTTTTCAACACTTTTCTTAAACTCCGTGGCCGGTCAAACTGTCAAAGTGGACTTTTATTTGGGATGGAAGGAGAAATTGATTATTAAAGTTTGTCTTGAAAAAGTCAAACTAGACGAATACTCTGGTACGAAGGTAGTAATTTTTACGGAGTAATTCTTAAGTTATTGTCAGTATCAACTAATAGTAATGGAACCTGGATTCTGAAGTTGGTTCATGGTTTGGTATGTAAAGATCTCTCTCTCTCTCTCTCTGTCAATAGGTTCCACAACTTGCCGGTGCATTAATGCCAATCTGTGAGGTTTTTGGTTCTTGTGCGCCCACTGTTTCTTGGGCTGTTACTAGGGAAGAATTATCTTCCCATGCTGTGTTTTCAAATGCATTCACTCTTCTGCTAAAGTTGTGGAGATTTGACGAGCCACCATTTGAGAGCGCAACTGGGGAATTATCACGTGTAACGCCTGAATATTTATTATTGGTGCGCAACCGTCAGTTGGCCTCAAACAATCAATTTAAGTGCAAGCGATTTTCCAGACTTTTAGATCCATGGCCTAGTGAACCTGTATTTATGGACTCATTTCCAAAGTTGAAGTGTTGGTACCGGCAAAATCTAGCATGTCTTTGTTCGACACTCTCTGGTCTTGTACACGGAACTCCTGTTCATCAACTTGTAGAAGCTCTGCTGAGTTTCATGTTCAGAAAACTAAGCAGGGGCGGGGGGCAGCCTCTTACCCCACCTACTACTTCTGGAAGCAGTAGCTCATCTGGGCCCGGTGATGAATTATCTGACCGTCTTAAAGTGCCCGCGTGGGATATTCTAGAAGCGCTTCCCTTTGCCCTTGATGCTGCCCTCACAGCATGCGCACATGGAAGGCTTTCACCCCGTGAACTAACTACAGGTAATTAAGTTGAAATATTTTTAGAACATTTTTCTACGTTATTATGATGCCTGGAAACAGCCTATCCAGGCCCTACTTTTTTGTGGGATTTTACTAGGTTTGTTGTTGTTGTAGCATATGAATTAAAATCTTGAACTCTATCCCAGGGATTAAGGACCTCGCCGATTTCCTTCCTGCTTCTTTGGCAACAATTATAAGTTATTTCTCAGCAGAAGTAACTAGGGGTCTTTGGAAGCCTGCCTCCATGAATGGAACTGATTGGCCAAGTCCAGCTGCAAATCTTGCTTCGGTTGAGCAACAGATTAAGAAAACCTTAGCTGCAACGGGCGTGCATGTCCCCAGTCTTCCTGTAGGTATGAATAAGCTCACTCACTTTCCATGCCGCTTTCTTTGTCAAAGAAGACCCACCTCTCCCCCCCATCCCCCACACGGTGTATGGTTTGGATCCCGGAAAAAATGCTAAAGGGGGAAATGCCAATAAAAGATATTTTCTTTCCCTTGATTTTACTTTTGAAAATGCAGATGGAAGCTCTGTATCTACTCTGCCCCTACCTTTGGCAGTACTTCTCAGTCTCACCATCACATACAAACTCGATAGGGACACCGGTCGGTTTCTCAACTTTGTGGGTTGCTCCTTGAATAACCTGGCCACTGTGTGTCCCTGGCCATGCATGCCCATCATCGTCTCCCTGTGGGCTCAGAAGATAAAACGCTGGAGCGACTTCCTCGTCTTCTCTGCGTCTCGCACAGTTTTCCACCACAACCGTGATGCCGTGGTTCAACTCTTGAGAGTCTGCTTCAAAGCCACACTCGGCCTAAACAATTCCATCACATCGACCAGTGGTGGGGTCGGCGCACTCCTCGGTCACGGATTTGTCTCCCATTTCTCGGGCAGCATATCTCCCTCTGCCCCGGGAATAATGTACTTGCGTGTCCATAGAGCCGTCCGGAATGCACTGTTCATGACGGAGGAGATCGTCTCCCTCCTGATGAGTACCGTCGGAGACGTCGCCAACCCGGCCGAGAACTTGGAGAGGCTCAAGAAAACAAAGCACGGATTGAGATACGGCCAGGTGTCGCTTGTATCTGCATTGGCCCGTCTCAAGCTCTCCGCTTCTCTTGGCGCTTCGTTGATTTGGATAACAGGCGGGTTGAGTCTAGTCCAGTCTCTGATTCACGAAACGCTCCCGTCGTGGTTCATATCTGTCCAAAAACAGGAACCCCTAGCACCCGGAGTTGAAATGATGAGGGGACACGCGCTCGCGTACTTCACGGTGCTCTGCATGGCGTTTGCGCTCGGGGTGGGCCTGCTCGGTCCGAGGCGGTCCAATGTTCTCGCAAGGCACATGGAGTTCCTCGCGAGCGCATTGGAAGGGAAGATATCCCTAGGGTGCAACGAGGCCACGTGGAGAGCTTATCTTTCGGGCTTCGTGAGCATGATGGTGGTTTCCACGCCGAACTGGGTGAGGGAGGTCGACGTCCGGGTGGTGAAGAGGCTGAGCATGGGGTTGAAGCAATGGAAAGAGGAGGATTTGGCCGTCGCTCTTCTTGGGGTCAGCGGGGTGGCCGGGATGGCCGAGGCTGCGGAAATGATTATATTGCGTCGAGTAGAGTAGAGTCCCACAGAAGTAGGGTAGGGTCGGGGAGTGTGGGTATGCAGACCTTGCCTCTATTATCTTGAACCACAATATTTTTATGTAATGTATATGTGTGTTGTTTCATGATGTATATGTTGGGAGAAAAAAATATTTATTTGGGTTTTGGTCTGTTTTAGGATTTGGAATTGGAGTTTTAAACAAAATTCTCCTTACTAAAATTTCATCTTCAACTCCACAGTGATTTAAACTCAACTATTTCTCTCTAGACCATCCCAACTTGTTTGAACTGAATTCTTTATTGTTGCACTGAAATGATCTGAACTCGTAAAAATATTTCTTATTCCATTAAAATCTTATCTTTTTTTTCATTTTTTTTATACTAGTATAATTTTCTTAAATTTTGTGAGATCAAACCACCAAGATAAATTTGAAAATGGAGGGAGTATGATTACATCGTTTATAAATAATTTTAAAAACTAAATCAGAAAGTGAAAACTAATTAAAACTATAATCTATAAAGGATGAATAGATTCTTATTCCACCCACCTTTTGTCTCAAGACTTTTGAATATAAATACTCTATGTCATTTATATCTTCTTCTCTGTTTTTTGGTCTGTTTCAAAATAAATTTATTTCAATACTTTTCTCTACATTTCAAAAGTTTTTTTTTATTTTCTTCCAATTTTCTTCATTTTTTTTCCTTCCATTTTTTTTCCATTTTAATTTTTATTAAATGTACATTCTTTCAATTTCCATACTAGTATATATCATGACAAAACAAAAAAGCATCTCTATCACCACTTTGCTTTTATTTTTTAGCACCTCATCTTGTTTCTTTTTTTTATTATTGTTTATTCTCCTTGAGTTATCACCCACGGCTCCCATAAAAATAAACTCCATCTAAGGCATGCACATTAATTTATTCCACACACACACATATATATAAATAAATTAATACTCCCTCCGTCCCCCATAGATCTTCCCATTAACCCTTTTTATTTGTCCCACATAGATCTTCTCATTACCTTTTTTAACATTTAAAATACCACAACTACCCCCACTTACTTTATTTATTACACCTTTTCCACCTTATTTAATACACCCCACCCATTTTCATTAAGGGTATTTTGGTAAATTTTCACCTTTTTTCAACTCTCCTTAAAAACCGCAAAAAATCAAAACGAGAAGATCTTAGGGGGACGGAGGGAGTATAAATTATAAGCACTCGCATAAGATACTCATTTAAAAAAGAATGAAGCTTTAATTTTTGTCACCTTTATCATCATGCACCAAAAGCTGTGATGCTCTTTCCCAAAATCAACTTATGCTATAATATTTCCTCAAAAAAAAAATGCTATACTCCATGTTCTTTAACTTCCTCTTTTCAGAACTTGTGCAGTTACATACTAAAAAAAAGAATGAGCGGCATCCCCGAGGATCCTTTAAGACTCGGCCGAACAGTCACTAATAGGAAGTAAATTGGACTTTGATCACAGATTGGTGGCAAAGAGTGCAGCATGCACCTGGTACTTGCAAAAATTCCATCGAACTCGGGTCTTACCCTTTGGCATTCCTTGCCTTGGCAACTGCGCAACGCCCACCGGCATGCAGTCAAATACTAGGGATGACAAGATGTTGGGTTCGGTTTGAGCTTTAGGGTTCGTTTGGTACACAAAATTGATGAAATTAGAATTGAATTGGGAGGTGAAATTCTATGGAATTGATTTGGATTGAATTGAATTCTCCAATTTCAATTCATTTTTGACACTACCAATTCCAAATCTACATAGTTTTGTGCAATCAAACTGCAGAATTAGACTTGTTCTGTGCAATTCTAATTTCATAGTTTGAATTCCGAGTACCAAATGGAGCCTCAATGTATTTAAATTTGTCCTGACTTAGAGCCTGTTCTTTAGGGCTTGAACTCTTAACTTCTAGTTTCTTTCAGTTCCTTCCAGTTTCTTCCAGTTCTTCCAGTTCCTTCCAATTTCTTCAAATTCCTTCCAGTTCTTTCTAGTTTCTTCCAATTATTCTCATTTTCTTCAAACTCGTTCTACACCCCAACCAATTACTCTAAAAACGTTATATTTTTAATGTGATTATTATTATTATTAATACAACTGTTATGTCCATAAGTATAGTTTATAAATTATTTTTCTTCATCTCACTATTTTTACGATTCACAGTCATTATTTTTTCTTCAACTTTTTAATTTGAACAAGATATTTTTTTTGTATATTAATCTACATGATAAAACAAGAAAACATCAATATGTTAAACTATGATAAAAAATTATGGATAAAATAGTGACATAGAATATTTTATTAATCTTAGTTTATTTAAGGCCTCTCACTTTTCCCTTTATTTTTTAAAATTTTCCCATTTTTCTAATTTTTATAAAAAAAATTGAAAGTCAAAATAGTTTAGAGAAAAAGACTAAAATATGAGTAAAACATAAAAGATGTAAAAAAAATTCTATGTCTTTATTCCAAAAATAGGACTTCAATGAAAAATAAAATGTCAATCATGAAAGAAAAAAATAGGTGCAACATAACCACAAAAACTTTTTAAAATTTAATATTTTTATATTTATGCTAACTTTAAATTATACTATTTTTTACAAAAGCAATTTTTTTGTATTTGAAAATAACAATACTTTTTTTTGTATCTTAAAGGCATTCATTAAGATAACGTGATGATGATGGTGGTGATGATGATGATAATAATAATTTATAACAAAAATTATTTAAAATAAATTTTTTAAAAGTTTTTTTTAGGTTTTCCAGTTTTTTGAAATTTTTCCAGTTCCTTCTAGTTTTTTTCCATTTTCTTCCAATTCCTTATAGTCTTTTCCAGTTCCTTCATGTTTTTTCTAGTTTCTTCCAGTTCCTTCTAGTTCCTTCCAATTTCTTCCAGTTCCTTCCAATTTCTTCTAGTTTTTTTCAGTTTCTTCCAACAACCAATTCTTTTTTTTCATTCCTAAAGAACATGCTCTTAGTACGAGTTGGGTTCAGTTTGTGCATAACTCATAGGGCATTATTGTATGTGGGAGGTAATTAATTAAATCTTTAATAAATGAGGAGAGAATTCTTGACTAAAAATCAAAGGTCCAAGTTCAATGGCAAAAGGCAAAAAGACTATTCTCATCCTTTTGGCCACATTTCTCAATCCAAAAGACTATTCTCATCCTTTATTTTGGCCATAATTCTGCAGCTTGTGGTCAAATTTATTCATGCACAAAAGATTTATTCCCTATTAGAGTTCACGTATATATGGATAAGAGGAATTTACCTAAATAGCACTAAAACATAATGACTTTCTCTAAATAGCACTACATATGTTTTTATTTCCAATGTAGCACTTTTAGTCATTATGCATTAGTCATTATTCAAGCAAAATTTCGCCATCATTGGACATTATGAACATTATAAGTGCTATTTAGAAAATAAAACAGTTTAAGTGCTATTTAGGGAAATGATTTAAGTTTTAGTGCTATTTAGTGCAAATATTTCTATGGATAATCCAACCACGACTCATTTACTCCAAATTACTACGGGTACATTTACCTATTGAGTTTATATACTGTGTTGCGCAGTTAGGAAAGCAATGTGTGTCAAAAGAGTTATACCCGAATTCGATCTCAGATAAGAAACTGGAAAAAACGGGAAGAATTAGAAGAAACTGGAAGACACTAGAAGGACTAGAAGAAACTGGAACTTAAAGAGTTTAAGCCCTAAAGAACAGGCTCTTAGCATAGAGCCTCTGCAAGTACCGGGTGGAGACTCTACTCTTTGTTACCAATTTGCGATTAGTCCAATTTACCTCATCTCAGTGACCGTCCAGTCGAGTTTGAGGAGGCCCTTGAGGATGAGGCTCATCTTTTATATATATATAGGTGCTCTAGACGCTATTTACAACTAGAGTGATTCTCTTAGTGCATCTTGGGTGTATATCATTTTTGTAGACTTTTTTACATAAATAATTTTTTTTATTTAAAAAAAAAATAGAGGAAGTAATTTCTAATAGGATATTTTCCCACTTTAAAAATAGGAGAGTTTTCCTCCTAAAATGGGGAGAAAAAGCTATAAAGCTTAATTAGGGAGTAATTTCTTTTGCATCATCATTTGTCACTTCACATTTATTTGGGGAAACACAACTCCAGTAAAATCTTGAATTTGAGGAAAATATCATAAATTATTCACTCCTTCGTAAACAAATTTCTTTTATAAAAATGTTGAATCAATCGGTCACCTGTTAGTATATATGCAATTTTGATATATACAGTATTTCATATACAAGTATACACTAGATATTGACTTTTTGATAAAAAATGTTAGGTGAATACCAAAAAATGTATTTCTGATAGAATTTTAGATATGGAAAGGGTTATAGGATTGAGTTATAAAACACTTAAGTTGAATCACATTAAAAAATGAATACAATTGATTAATTAGTTGAATTCAAGAATTTATATACTCCGGGGTATCAATTATTTCTTTCTCACTTTTCCGATGTGAGATAATTTTAACATTTCTCCTCAAATAGAGAATCAGGCTATTTTGAATCTAATAGATTGAGCACTTGCAAATGGACTCCCCCCATCTCCTCAATTTTTTTAGCTCCAACACTTAAAGGGTCACGAGCCACTGGGTAAAGACTTTCGGACAATTAATCGGATTAAACAGGTCATAAATCATTGATTATGCATTCCACACGGATAACTGGGATATAGACTAGACCCGTTAGGAATGAACGTCTAGACGGACACACTGACAAACAGGTCGGCCAAAGCTTGCTTTGATACCATGATAGAATTTTAGATGTGAAAGGGTTACTGGATTAGGTGATAAGACATTTGCATCAAATCACATCAGACGATTGATTCCAATCGATTATTTAGTTCAACTCAAAAATTTATATATATACTCATTACTTTCTTCTCAATTTCAATTGTATACCAAAGGCAAATACAACTATGTTATATCAGTTCGAGCATAGATACTATGTTTGTGTTTACCTTAGTGTATAATTAGGGCACAATTTTTGGTGCACCCTAACATTTTTGAGACGATCTCTCAAAAAAGCAGATTGAGATACCTCGTATTTGAGAATAATATTTTGATTAGCGTTAGATTTTTTGATAAAATTTTAATTCTAAAAGTGTTAACAATAAAAATTTATATCAAATAGTTTTTTTTCAAAATGTTAATAATATTTGAGTGTGATGAGAAACAAGTACTAAGATTCTAAGGTTTGTTTGGGAATAACGTTAGAGACTAACGTTAGCGTTCTGAAAAGACTATCTACGGCCAGCGTTTAGCGTTAGCATTTTTAAAGTAATCTACACCATTAAAATTTTATCTAAAACACTAACACTGGTCTCTAATGCTATTGCCAAACACGTCCCTAGAGTATTTGGGGTTGGCGTTGCACATTTCTTTACCACGAAAACTGAACGACAAGACGTTAGTGACTTTACTCGATTTTAATTTTCATTTGATGGTTCATTATATATTGAGAGCCAAAAGAAAAGTAGAAGTCCACTAGTAACACCCACATGCATTCTATACCAACCAAAAAAAGTTCTAGAAAAGATTTGCCACGTGTATGACGTTCCTTCCTTTTTGAAAAGTCGCCCCTCTATTTTGGGGTATTTCTAACCTGGCCCGTGTTTCTCCTGCGCTCTCATACGGAGTATAAATAAATGTACCCAATAAACCCCCTCCTCTTCGTCGTGCACACGAGAACCCCTCCCCTCCCCTCTCCGTACACTCACAATCCGCCATTGCTGGCCTTCTCACCGGTTCCGAGAATCAAACAGGGAAAACGAAAGCGGGCCGGGGATTCCCTCGATTCTGCAATTGATCGGAGATCGGTTTATTTGGTGGGAGAAGATGCCGCCGGCAGCTGGCCCCGTAGCTCATCATCAGCCTAATAATCGGCCGATGCTGATGGGGAATGTGGTGTCCCCGGTAGCGCATCCGAATCCGGCGGTGGTGTCGGATTCCTTCGCCAAGGACGCCGTTATTGCATGGTTTCGGGGCGAGTTCGCCGCCGCGAACGCCATCATTGACGCCCTCTGCAACCACCTGACGCAGCTCGAAGGCGGCGGGGCGGGATCCGAGTACGAATCGGCGTTCACCGCAATCCACCGCCGGAGGCTCAACTGGATCCCGATTCTCCAGATGCAGAAGTACTACTCCATTGCGGATGTGGCTCTCGAGCTCAGGAAAGTTGCCGCGAGAAAAGAGGAGGTCGCCGTCGCCAGGGAGGCGGCCGTTTCCGTCGTCTCTGAAATGAACGCGGCGGTTTCACACGCTTCTCGGGAGGAAGCGGTTGAGGATACCGGAAAGGGAGGCGGCGAGGCTGTTTCGGAAGATTTGGTCAGAGACGATTCACATGGTTCCCCTGAAAGTGAGATCACCGACTCAGGTAAGTTCCCTTACCATCATTATTCATCTACGGAGTGTGTATTCAATGCTTCATTTTTCTCAAATTTTATTCCTCTCGAAACAAATTTTGATATGATTATTTGAATTACGGAGGATATCTTTTGCTCTTAAATAAGAAAAAAAATAAAATGTTAAATTCATTTTGGAACTCTTAAAAGAAGGTAGATATGAAGTTTATTTGGAAATGATTTTCCCCCAAATTAATTGGAAAATGATGCGCATTTTATTTTTCCGAGTTCCAAACATAGCTAGAGGAATATTAAATAGTGAAATCTCTATTTCTAGAAATTAGTAAAAGTAATTAATTACCGAGTACTGGTAATTAATTATTATCGACCACCACTTTGTAAAATAAAAAAGATGAGACCCATCTCTGAGGCCCCGGTCGGACAATGATCGCCCTTTTGTAAAAAAGTAGAATGCCTACCTCGGGCGGCCTCACACACCCGCCCGAAATGATTGTGAGGGGAGAAAATAATGAAATAATCCCAATCTTGTTTTCTGAAAAGCTGTCTTGTGTCAGGTGCGCATAATTTTTTTTTTACAAATAATAGAATTTCCACATTCCTATAACTTGAATCTGACGCCATGTTCTTAGACCAGTTGAACTATCCATACATGAGGTGTGACGACCCCTTTTTTAAATACAAATGGGAGAGGCTATTCCCAAATTACTGGTATAAGTCTCGATTTTGACTTGGCAAAAGGGCAGACTGACTTCGTACTGTATTCTTTAATTTCGGAAAACGGTATCACTGAAAAAGAGTAACCCATGGAAATGGCAAAAAGAGCTGACCGCACACATAAAGGCCAAATGCGTATGGTAGTTGAACGTTTTCTCTTTTTGCAGTGTTTTTCGACTCCCAAAAAAAGGGTGGGTATATCTAGACAAAGGAATTTCCTAAAAACTCGAAGAATTAATAGTTATGTGGCTCTTTAATTTATTTTTATTAAAATTAGATATGTTTAAAATAATTTATATTAAATTTTAATAAAATTAAAAAAATGGAGAGAGAGTAGGAGTGTAAGAGAGTGTGCGTACCGAACTGCGGGTTATGAGATCCTTTATCTCCAACTTTCTATCTCAGCAATCAAAATGTAATACGGAGTACATAACACACTCTACTAATGTAACTATGCTCCCTATTCTGTCCTCAATGAGAGTTTATGCTAAATGAGAGGGTGGAATACATTAAGTATGGCATCTTGATTTGAAAATAACTTTGGTTAAATATCATAACGCGCAATGGGAAGATAATTTTTGGACGGAGAATATATTAATTACCTTCTGCGATGCAAAAGACCTAGACATGGTACGATTCCGGAACCGGCAGTTCTGGCATCGCCGAGAAGAGGCACTGTAACCAGCACCGCAGGGGACGGTTTCTGAGTCAGTTCCAGAACCAGCGTCTCCTACTCCAGTTCATGGTTAATTTTTTCCAAATCTAAGATTTTAATCTATAAATCTAATACGGAGTATATGAATAATATGCGATGTAAAATAATTTATAGGTTTTTATAAATTCTAATAATGTAGTTATTATTTAAATGAAAAATGTTAAAAGTGTTACAATTACATTTATTATCCTGACGGTTCAAAAAAGCCATCAAGACGAAAAGAACAATCAAGGGAAAAAAAAATCCGAGCCGGCACCAAACTGGAATAGCCGATTCCGGTACGCCCAAAATCAACACCGGAACGGGACACGTGTTCATCGGTTCCTCTGTAGGGACGACCTTCTCCGGTCAGGTTCCAAAACCGTTAGTGCCGGGCGATTATTACCCGGAACCGTGTCCCGTATGCAATCAATCATACCGTAAAAAAACAAAAAAAAGAAACAAATGCAATCAATCATAATAATAGTATACGGCGGCCTTTGGTTTACGAGTATCTATCATGTTTTTGACGTACGCCGATGACGGTTATATTGTGTCTGCTCTTTCCTGGCGACCCCAGGCTTACTGGTCAACTCCATCACCGGCTCACCGCTGGCATTATTTTCAAAAAATAAAAAAAATGGAGAAAATTTTTCTATGAAAAGAAAATTAAGGGGATATATTTTGAGCCATTTTTATTTAGGGAGTATATATTTTTATTATTAGGCGGGTCGCAATTCGTAAACAACTCCAATGCGTAAATAATGATGTGGCTTGGCCAAAAAAGAGACCCCGTAAATCTGTTGAATTCTAATAGTAATTATATATATTCCGTACACACACAGACGCAATTATTGAATGAATTTATAGTGTCTACGGATTAAGTTCAAACTTCAAACAATTATTCCTCCCACCATATACTCTCTCGGTTCCAAATTTATGGTCACATTTGAACAATGTATGAAATTTTATATTCCTTGATTTTTAAAATTATTTTATTTAGAAATTAGCATATAAATATAAAGTATAAATTACATATTAAAAAAAAATTTATAAAACAAGAGGTGAAAATATTATTTTATTCGTATTTATTATATCAATGAAAATACGTAGATAAACACAAGTTATTGAGAGCCCAAAGTATGACGGCTTTTAGGAACGTAATGAGTATAAAATAGTTTCAAGAATTTCTCAAAAATATCTTACACTTTATTTTCTATCAAGAATTCTCTCTCCTCTATATAAATTCCAACTATACATTTTTTTTTAAATTTTCAACAACTTTCTTAATTAATTTCCGAGAATTAAGAGTGTCAAGAATTTTATGGGACGTAAGTAGTATTAAAATTATGTAATTTGATTAAGTATAAATAAGAGTTTTACAAGACTTCATTTTAGAGGATGAAGAAAGTAACAATTAATCGGTTTCTCCCTTCGTCTCAAATTAATTTTCTCGTCTTCCTTTTCAAGTTGTTCCAAAATAAAATTCGCATCAGTCAAATAATTTTATTTCTTGAAATTATATTTAAAAAATAAACGAGAAGATTAATTTGGGAGGAAGGGGTATGATATGGTGGATTAATTTAGGCCGTGAAACCAACTAACCCAACATGGTGGAGATTGTCTCCCTTCTTTTCATCATACGCTTCAGAGCCACAATCATTTTCTTTGAAGAATCTTTTTGCACAATGCGCAACTACTGTGCCATGATTTTCGGGAACGTTGAGGGCACATGGCACCACCGACACGAAATGCATGCCCTCCACCTACCTGTGTAGCTCTAGAGCTATAGCTTGTTTTGTCCGCCCTGAGATGTTTTCTTTCTTTTGCCATTTGCCTTTCAATATATATATGCATATGTTCAACGGACGTCCAAATTACGGAGTAAAATTTATTCTTGGCAGCAAGCAGGCCGAAAGCATCTCTAAACAACAAATTTGAAGATCTCAAAATATATTAGGCCGTGTCCTGATTAACGCTGTCTTATTCGATACAGTCAGCTAGCCGTACTGAGCACGATTTACTCCGTTTTAGCTAGACAAAACTAGTACAGTACCTTTCTTATTTTCATTTTTCTTTAATTCCCTTGTGGAAGAACAATTTTTTATATACTATATACGTCCCAAAAATAATTTCTCACTTCGACTTATGGAGATTTTACGAAAAATATTGAAAAGATATTAAACACTAAGAATGAGTAGTTAGAATTTGTTTAGAAGAGACATAAATATTTTGGATCATATATTCTTTTTTTACAAAATAGAAAACTAAAATAGAGGTAAAATAATTTTGTTGAATAGGGAGAACTAATATAATTTTTTATCTATCCCTAAATAATCTTTCCATATTTTTAAATTTCTAGCAAAACAATAAGCATGTGAGTCATCAAATTATTTTTCTCTTTCTAAATAAGCACAAACAGTTTTTATATTCTTAATTCATGTGTCCATCAAAGAGAGTATGTTGTATGAGATACATTGTGAGTCATAGATGGAGATCTAGTACTTATTGTGGCTTCTTATTATTTGCTCTCTTGTGGTCATGGTCTCATGGATAAGGTCCTGTTTAAATAGTCATAATAGGCTGAAGCAGAGGAATTAACTTGACAAATAGAATACGTATGTTCTGACTTAACCATTTGGCCTCTACAAAATAACGAACTAATTGTTCTTTTTTTATTTCTGTTGCAAGTTCAGGATCCCAAGATGTGCAGCCTGTCCAAGAAGACATTGAGTTCTGTTCTCGCCATGAAAACTGCGAAGAACGCCGTTCTCTGTTCAAGATGACCAAAGGGTTCATGGGTAGGGAGCCAGTGAAAGGGCATATGGTGAATTCTTTTTTACTTGACTCAAACCGATGCAAGATATCTGTGAAACTAGCTAGCTTGCTCCCTTTTGCCTATAACAAAGCATATAATACCTCTCTGCTTGGACTGTAGGTGAACGTTGTTAGAGGCCTGAAGTTGTACGAAGACATATTCTCTCCAATTGAACTTTCAAAGTTGAGTGATTTTGTGAATCAACTCAGAGTCGCTGGCCGAAATGGAGAACTCTCAGGTGGATCCCCGTGATTTGTCACCGTCTTCTCTTAATTATTGTTACCTTTTTTTCATCCACAAAGTATTTGGATAAATGTGAAAGGTTTGGTTAATTTTGTGCAGTAAATATTGCATCTGCAGATGGTATATGATGGACTATATATGAAAATTGAAATTTTGAATGACCTAACATCAACCAAAGCTTTGACTTTTGCCACTAAATTTCAGGGGAAACATTCATTTTGTACAACCAGCAGCTGAAGGGTAACAAAAGGGAGTTAGTTCAACTTGGCACTCCTATTTTCGGGCACGTGAAAGAAGACCTTGCCTCTCCAAAAAGTGAGGATACATTTTTAGAGCCCCGGATTAACTTATTATACAAGTGTCTTCTCATTTAAAACATTTATTCATCAGTTTCTTCTATGTGTGTCGATCAGCCTAAACTTCAACTGGAATAAACTTCTGCCTTGTAGGTAGCAATGAGCCAATTCCCGCTCTTCTCGAACTTGTGATTGATCACCTTATCCAGTGGCATTTAATTTCAGAAAACAGGAGACCAAATGGATGCATCATCAACTTCTTTGATGGGGTAGGTATTACAGAAATATACTCTGTTTATATGTATATGAGACATTCTTCATCATATCCTAACCGGAGTTTAATTAATAACACGTATGTGCTTATCCAGGGGGAATATTCACAACCTTTTCTGAAACCACCTCACCTGGAACAGCCCATCTCGACGCTTCTCCTCTCCGAGTCGACAATGGCATTTGGTCGAAGTCTTGTTAGTGACAGTGATGGCAACTACAGAGCATCACTGGTACTTCCCCTTAAGGAAGGGTATGTATATAGTATATCATATGATGCCTCCATAATAACTTCATTGCTTTTTGGCATACTTAATAAGGATCACATGAAGGCTTGACGAATGTGGGGTTTTTCGCCGCAGATCTCTCCTGATAATGAGGGGAAACAGTGCTGACATGGCAAGACACGCCATGTGTTCCTCGTCGAACAAGAGGGTGAGCATCACGTTCTTCAAAATCAGGACATGTGGCAGTGACGTGGACAGCCATTACAGGTCATCATCATCATCATCATCATCTAATGAACAAGTGGTTTCCCTTCCCCCATTGACAAAAGCCATGACCTTGTGGCAACCAGCAGCTCCTCTTCCTCCTTCCTACACATCCCCAAACCTAAACTATGACACATCAACGTCAACAATGGATCTAAAAATCCCTAAGACTCTCATCCGCCCTCCCGTCGTCATGTTGGCCCCCGTCGTTCACCCGCTACTTCTCAGTCCCGGCCGGAAGCTTCCGGGTTGTGGCGGTGGCGGCACCGGGGTGTTCCTGCCTTGGACAGCTGTCCGAACCGCCAGGAGACACGTCAAGCATCTCCCACCCCGCGCTCTAAAACGACGATTCCACCTGGCACTCCCACCTTCCCCGGTTGAACCAGAGACGGACCCCGCCTCCGAGCCAAGCATCGACGACGACCTCGCTTATGGGAATGAGCCATGACGAAGCTACAAATGCGTGCTGATTATACTTCTTACACAAAGCCTCTGCCCTTTCAAAGTTGTTACAGTGTGTGCCATTAAACTGTTAGTAGTTGAGTTTTTATTCTCTGTTTACAAAGTTTTAATCATTTTAATCTCAATGTATCGTTTCAAAGCGTTTTTCCAGAAGAAGTGATCCCCCCTCCCCCAAATCCAAAAAATACCTATAACATACTCCCTCTCCCTCTGTCCCATTTTAAATTGCCTGTTTGCCTTTTTTCTCCGTCCCAAAATAAGTTGCCTGTTAGTTGTTTTTGTAAACTTTTAAAAATAAAATACCTAAACTACCCCTAAAATAAGTCACTCTTCTTCACCTTATTTTCTCATTCATCATCACCCCTCCCGAAAAGTAATGACAATTTTGGAAAATCAATTCTATTTTTTATTTTCCTTAAATATGCCCAAAAGTCAAAACAGGCGATTTAAATTGGGACGGAGGGAGTACATAAGAACTAATAACAAAATTTAAACAATTACTGCAATTAACTAATTCATCCAAAATCATATAAACATATATACGGCTTCTAATAACAAAGAGCTTTAATACGGATTATATCTTTCTTTGATTGATTCCTTGGATTGAAGCAGGCTTAATTGCAATCGAGTTGAAGTTAATTACTACAATGGTTAAGGATAAACATTTGATAGGAATGATGAAGTCAAGAAATAAATTAAGGACGGTGAAGAAGAGGGAGCATTTGGGGCATGCATCTGGGTTTTGGACATTTTCTTTCCTTTGAAAAAAAAAATTCTTTTTGAATTGTCTCCTAGTTTGAACACACCTATCTTCTTCCCTAATAAGTTTCAACAAGATGGAAAACAAACAAACAAACAAAGTAAAAAGAATCATTCGACGAAAGTATTTTTGGATGTGTGGTAAAGATCATAAGGAGCCCACAAATGGTCAACAATGCAAGGCTTTCTTGAATCCAACCTCAGCCATGGCTTCCCCTTGCCACTCCAATGGAGCAGGCTAATGGGCCCAGGGTGCAGGCTCCTGCATTTCCCTTCGAGGTTGTCGCCGCCCAACCCGTGCTGGTTCCACCTGTGGTCCACCGGCGTTATCTTCCCCGCCAGCACGAGCAGGAACGGCGGCAATGACCCCAAGTGGTAGATCCTCTTTTTCTGCTTTTGCACCATCATCCAGTCTTCCACCTTCTTCGTGTACCCTCCGCGCCTCCATTGCTCGACGTCCATCACCATCACCCCCGTGTTGAAATAGCACGGCTTCCGCCCTTCGAACGTCCTGGTCAGCTCCGGGTCCGCCCAGAACGCGTCCGTGAAGTAGGCGGTGAAGTTGGCGTGGCAGTACTCTGGCGCCGCCAGAACTCTGCCGCCCAACTCCACCTTCCATAGCTTCATGATGTCGTCCACGAGCACAAGGTCAGAGTCGAGGTAAATCACCCGCCTGACCTCGGCCGGCAGAATTTCCGCCAGGTACGCCCTGGCATAGTTCAGCGGCTGGTCCAACGCCTGTCGAATGGACTTGGAGATCAATCCGCGGACCCTACTCGCGTCGAAACGATAAACCTTGAAGTTGAGGTACGGGAACGTGGACCGAATGCTCGAGAACACCTCCGGCTCGTGCCTGAGCCAGAGGAAGTGGAACGCCACGTTCTCCGGGCAGGTAGAGTGCTGGAGGATGGAGAGCACGGCGGCCATGGTACCTCTAATGTAGTTGGTGTCGAGGGTCATGACGACATGGATGAGGTCGCCAGACCCGCACGCCTCACCGTTGCGGAAGGCCGGGGCCTCATTGAAAAGGGGGAGGCTGTTGGGGGCCGCGGGCTTGCGGATGGCGAGGCGGATATTGGCGGCATCGGCGGCGGGGAGAGGTTGGGAGGTGATGAGGAAGAGAGACAGGAGGCCAATAAGGAGTGGAACAAAAGAAGAGGAGTTCCAGAAGGCCATCCTGCCCTGTTAATTTTAGCTTTTTACAATGGAGGAGGGGAGGTCGCCATTGGAGGATGCTGCAGATTAAGAGAAGGTTTTAGGAGAGGTTAGAAATGAATGGGGGGGAGGAGGAGAGAGGCTGGTAATCATTGTGAGAAAAAACCTCAGATCCCATCATTTTAATTATTACATTCCATTGATGCCAACATATATATTTACCAGTGATTTCATTGACATTCTTTAACACCATCCAATTTATGGCTAATAACGATTTTCATTCTCTTGTATAGTAAAAACTATGGGAGTGGTTACAAAAAAATTACCTTTTTCTTTTTTTTTTTACCTTTTTAGGATAAACTATTTGATTATTTTTAAAAAAAACAAAACTGGTGATTTAAGAATCATTGATTTTTTCCAAATTGAGCAAAAATTTAAGTATGTACAATCCTTTTGTCTTATGAGTATAAATGGCTCCAAAGAGTGTTTATTTAACCAAGTTTTTCCATTACCAAACATTAGAAAAGCTAATTAAAATAAGCCATAAACAATGCTCTATATGAAAACATGTCCTTAAACAACTCTTTCTTCAAGTCAAATAGGGGAAAAGGATTGGCAAAACAAACAGCAAGTGTTAGTATATTGACAAATTTCACCCTCCCAAATCCATTACTTTCTAATGATGCATTTATAGATTACCAAACGAAACAAACCTAGTATCGAGTAGTATTTCACTAATTGATGAAATTATAGATCGAAAATGCTAAGATCTGCATGTTTTTACCATTTATACTCAGTATATCGACTTCTATCAGCGCATTTAATTGAAAGAGAAAAGTCAAAGCTCATCTTTTACATGTGCGGCTTGATGGCACTCATCCCAATAATAAGGGTACTTCAATCTTGCAGCAGTGTGTGGCATGAGCCAGTCATCGTAGATGAACCTGAAAGCAAATTGTATCCACCAAGGAAAGCTAAGAAAAGTGATGGATACTAAGGAAAGCTAAGGAGAATATTTATGTTTTTTTTACATTCTAAAACAAGGAAAAGTCAAATTTGATTATGGCATTCTTAAAGTTTTAAATATACTTGATTTATTGAGATTTATTGAGCTTTAACCAGATTCCTATTTTCACCTAAATTTCGTTGCTAGGCAAGGTGGCCAAAACAATGAAAGAAATGCTTACACTTTCACTGGCGGGCGAGATATAACAACCAATACCTGTAAATCCTCGGATTCACCAGTGTTCCAAACCTGAAACGAGACAGTAAAATCATACATTTTATAACACCAGAAGTGACAAAGACGATATAAGTATGTGTCTAGTGATATCAATAATGTGAGCTACATATTCCATTTCTTAAGAAGAGATGTGGGTTTATATTGGGACGGGTGGAAAGGGAAATTGTATACATCCCATTCAATTAACTTAAGGTGAACCAATGAACACTATATTTTACCTGGTGAGCATCATTGGTAGGAACATGAAAAGTGCTATTCATGAAGATGGGCATTTCAAGTGGCTCCCCGGGGTACTTTGGATGTGAATTAGATGCAAGATAGAGCATTCCAGTCCCCTTTAGTACGACAAATACTTCCTCGCAAGAGTGTCTGTGGATTGGTGTTCTTGAACCAGGCGCAAATGTTTGGAGCCATACTTCTACCTGTCAAAATAGAGTGATATAATCACTGTGGTAGAGGTAAACTGCTTGGTGATAATGGGAAAAAACACCTTGTTAATGGGTAAGTGGCAAGAAAATATACAAAAGATCATTGTCATTGCATTGAAAATCCCAGAAAAGGTATTTGTGATTCAAACTTGAATATGATTGCTCAAATACGAATAAACTCAGCAATAATCGAGTCCCATTATAGTATCTTAATATTCGATTTGAACTAATTTTCTTGCAACCCGAGCTTAGATCCATCAAACCCCAATTAATCCCCAATTAGGCACTAACAGCTAGACTCAGTTTGCTTTCGAAATATAGCAAAAGATCAAATAATTAATAAACAAAGAATCAATTCCATTTGCACCAACCAAACAAGAATGCAGATGGAAAATTCTGCATTCCGGAAAATACTCCATCATACACAATATATATACTCTTCTTTAACTTGGGTGTTAAATTGGAAATTGAACCTCTTTCATGCCATGCAGTACTGAACCTGCCACTGTGATGTGAGAAAAACCAGGTCTTCCATAGCTATCTTGTGGAAGCTCACTGATATTCCTAATTAGTGGCAAACCTGCTTCAAAGAAGAAAAAGCTCAGCCGCTATATATTTATCAATGAAATTTAAAGTAAATGAAAAAAAAAACAGAATTTCAAAGAGAAACCCTATAATCAACAGCTGATGATGAATGTGGTCATTAGGGGGAGTGTGGTGAAGAAGACGACTCGCCTTTGATAGAGCAGTGCGAGGCTTCGGAGGTTAGAGAGAGCAGAAAAACCGCCGCCGAAAAAACTCCGACTAAACGCCGGTTCATTTTCGCGATCTCTCCGTCAGAGTCTCCGACGATCGTCAGGCGATGAATCTGGAAGAAGAGAGGGACGGGATGATTCGAGAGAATAAAGATGTGTCGGACGAAATGAGCCAATGGGGTGCTTTAAGTAGGAAATTACTGAATTAACCTCTCTTCTAAAAAAAGAAAAAAATGCCTCGTGAAACCACACAGATCAAATTCGTCTGCTCTCCTTTGTGAATCACGCTCCGGCCGACGGTAAGTCCTCTCTTCTCTTCTCCGGAATTTCCCGGCGGCTCAACGACGCACTCCGTCACTGGATTGCAAAGAAAAACAATGCCCTTTGATCACCCATCTTTGTTATGAAATCAGAAATCTTTAACGAAAAAGTCGGAATCTTTTGCCCGGAGAGCTAAGCTATGGAGCATTTTGGGCTTAAGATGTAATGGGAAGGGATTGAAGGAATAAAAGAATTGGTATGGCGACGTTTGTTGGTGGGTTTGTGTTGCCATCGCTGCTCTTAACAGGTAAGACTGAACTTAAAGATTGCCTTTTTAATACAGTGTATTGGAAGAGGATTACCTAAACTGCAGGCTCATATGAGATGGTGAAGTTTCCTTACATCATTCAGAGTATCATAGAGTGCATTTCCTTATTTAGAATATGTGTCTATTTACTCTGCTTCCCAGAAGTAATTTTTCATTTTAATAAAAAAAGGTACTTAGGAAACTACCTTCAAGCAGCTGCTTTAGAGTTAAAATTGTATAAGTCAATACAGCCCTATCCTTTCCCTTTGCAAATTCAATTTTTTTGAAGAATGTAGCTTGTGTTGGACTATCTCAGGCTCGGGATGTCCAAAATCCCAACTGTGGTGTAATTAAGCCCAGACTATATGAGGAGAATGTCTTCCTTGAGCTGAGCTAAATCTTGTTGTGGTGTCAGAGTGATGTGATGTTCCCTTGTGTGTGAGTGTGTTGCAAAAGGATCTTTTTTCCCAAGTGATTTGATTGTATATGTGCATGTGTTTTTAATTTTAAACCCTTTGATTCACCATGTTTTTACTATGCTGTGTAGAGAGTAAGTGTGTCTTTGTCTTTAAGTCTAAACCCATTGATTCATCATGTGTGTACAGCTGCTTTACTGAATTGGAATTTGGTATCTCTTGTTGATTTGGTGGCTTCACTTATTATCCGATTTACTGCTCCGAAACGAGGTTAGCTGCTCCCATGATTTAAGATTCCTTGTTCTGGTGTAAATATATGCTATGAATTTGAAACTGTATATTTTCACCTGCATTTTAAAGCCATTGTTTTTTAATGTTCATAGGATTTCGTTTTCGAGGAAGGATTCTGTTGTGGTCTGTCTTTGCATTTTCTCTTCTTGTAATTGCTACCGAAGTGATTTTTCTTGCTTTATGGGCCATCATTGGTTTCAAGTGGTGGGTAGCAGATTCCTGGTGGGCAAAACTAATTGGACTGATGAAGTTAGTTCTGATTTCTCATTTCAGCACTCTTTTGCTAGTTTTTTTTTGATGTCGTGCTTGTTCAATATCATCTAACTGATCCCAGTTATACATCTGTCCTCCCCGAACGGACACAATTAAGTCCTTAGTTTATATGCTTTTGCAGGGTCCAGTCTTATGGGTTGCCCTTAGTAATTTATTATTTGACCGTTCATATATTAGTGGCGGTTGCAACTATCTTAGAAATCAGAAGTGATAGATATGGATTGTTTCAGTCAAGTGATTCATGTTGGGGGCGTTTCTCATCAGCTTTTGAGCATATAGGTTCTCGTCTTAGGGTGGCCTCTTGTTTATTGCTTCCTGGCATTCAATTAATTGTGGGAATCAGCAATCCTTCTTGGCTTTCTTTGCCATTCTTTATATGCAGTTGTGTTTCCCTGGTTGATTGGTCATTAACGAGCAACTTTTTAGGCCTTTTTAGGTAATTATTACCGAGTATTTTTATTCCTTATTATATTGCCTTTAAAAACATGTTTTTTCATCTAACTGGATATATGCCTGCCATTTCATTGAAGGTGGTGGAGGATTCTTTGGCTGTATGCTGGCATTAGCATTTGCTTACTTTATGTGTATCAGTTCCCTGTTCCATACCCACAAATGTTTCATACTATTGCTAATTTCCTTGGTCTCTATGAAATATCTGCAAATTCCAGCTGGCAAGAAATATGTTCTGGGGTCACACTTTTGATATTCTTCTATATGGTATGCTTTTCTCTCTATATTAAAAATCTTTTACTAGCATATTGTGCCTTTGTGGTTAAGAGCGTTAATGGTTTCATGTTAATATGGCTAAGCCTTCGATATGAATGACATGGATCCTTTCTTTACTATTATATCTTATGAGTTTTTTTGAGTTCTCAACACAGACCATGTTTTTATATTCGCCATAAATGTATAATTGGCACATCATTTTAAGAAATTTGGAGCTGAAATATAGTAACTGGAATTACTTATGAAATTATGTTCGTGTATTTTCTTCGGCATCATTGTTGACATCATTTCTAATCCTTCACAATGAAGCTCTTTCAGCTTAGTTGTGTAGATTCTTAGCTTTTTGAGTATTTATGTGCAGCTTTCATATATTAAATGTGATTTGGAGGAAATGCATCTCATTGTGACCATGACCACTAGAGAAGGAACCTTGACTGAACAACTTCTTCCCTCGAGGCATTCTTTTTTCATTCGGGAGTCCAAGTAACCATTGCAGATCCTCTAATTTTATTTCCTAGCATCCATTTTTTTTCCTTTTTATTCATTGAAGTGTAAATGCTGAATTCTCTGCTGCAGATCAGGTGTAAGGCATACCAATGTTTTGTTGAGAAGTACAGTTTTTCAGATTTTCACAATTAACTTTTTCTCATATGGCTTCCCGGTACATCTTTGAACCCAAAAGCCTTTGTTTATTGAACTCTCTCATTGCATCTTTATGTTTTCTATCTTTCCACACACACACACACAGATTAATGTTAAAATTTGTTAATGGCTATCTTGACAGGTCTCCTTGTTTGCACTCTCATTTTGGAGCTTCCATTTTGCTAGTATATGTGCGTTCGGACTGCTAGCGTATGTTGGTTATATCTTATATGTTTTCCCTTCACTGTTTCGAATGCACCGATTAAATGGTTTGCTACTAGTCTTCATTCTTTTCTGGGCTGTGAGCACATATATCTTCAATGTGGCATTTGCTTTCTTGAACTTGAATCTCGAGAAGGTATCCATTACATTTGTGGCAAAATTTTTCCAGCATCATTCACTGAATGTCAAACTAATTAATGACTTAAATCTCCATATGTATGTCTAGGACATGGAGATTTGGGAGATGGTTGGCCTGTGGCATTATCCTATTCCTGGATTCTTTTTACTTGCCCAGTTTGGTCTTGGAATTCTTGTAGCTGTGGGTAACCTGGTTAACAATTCTGTCTTTCTGTGCTTATCTGATGAGGAGCAGTATCCTTCAACTAACAGCTCTATTGAGGAAGGTACATATGTATGCACTAAGTTCACGTACTGATAATGCACCATGTTTGTTCTGTAATCTTTTAACTTCCATCATTCCTTGTCATATTTTTGAGGAGGGGGCAGGAGATGAGTTTGGTAAGGCAGGCTATGTTTGAGAGTTAGGTTCTGGAGAGATGGGAAGGGAGGGAAGGGTTTATTTTCCATTTTAAGTAAATATTTCTTTAACTTGGTAATTTTATGTGATGAAAGATTTGAGATGATATATTAGTATACCCTCTAAGTTCTATTCATCCATTTATTACTATAATTTTTATATAAGGAAAATTCTATGAACATTTTTTTTCATCAGCGTCTTTGAGAATATTCCCCCTTTGTAAGAAAAATTCTCATGTTGCCTTTTATACACGATATGTATTACAAGCCATTGCTTCTATCAATTTTTCTTAAAAATTTCAACTTGCAGAGAATGGAGAGACCAAAGTATTGATTGTGGCTACAATCGCCTGGGGTTTGCGCAAATGCTCTCGAGCCATCATGCTGGTCTTGATATTCCTTATTGCAGCTAAACCTGGTTTCATCCATGCTGTTTATAGTATGTCCAAGTAGGCGGTATTGTTACTTGTTTAAGTTTCAAAGTTCCCTTTTATCATTAAGTAGTTTTTAATTGTACTCCCAGTGGCCTACTTTATATGTCATATTTTCCTTTTATGAATCTTCCAAATTAATGTCCACTTTACCATAAACCCAGCAATAATCGAGTCCCGTAATAATTTGTCCACTTTCCTTTTAAGAAACTTTCTTTCTCCCTATTCAATGTATATCTCTCTCTCACACACTTTTGAAATGATTTGACACAATAATCTCTCTTGATGTACAATTTGGTAAAATGTACTGTGTTTCACTTCTTTTCATTAAGAACCACACAAAGCAAGATTGTCTTATTTTTTGGGAAGGAGTATTTGTAGAATAGTTGTGCAATAAGTGTACGGAAATTAACTTGGTTATGGGAATCGTACCATCTATAAGTATGACTAAACGTGAATTTCTTTTGTTTCAGTTGTGTTCTTCTTTGTGTACCTTTTGAGCCATGACATCAGCATGAGGATACGCCAGACCTTAATCCTTTTATGTGAGGTTCATTTTGTATTTTTATACATTCTTCAGCTTAATCTGATCTCAAAAACTCTAGAGCAAAAGGGATCATTGAGTATGGAGCTTCTGTCACAGCTAGGTACATTTCCCTCTCTATTCCTACCATTTTAAATAATAATAATAATAGTGTTCTCTGCTGTTTCTTAAATTTATTTACTAATAGTCTAATACTGTAGGTCTTCTTGAAAGCGAAAGTTGTTGGGATTTCCTTGAAGTAGCTCTCCTGGCATGTTTTTGTGCCATTCATAATCATGGCTTTGAGATGCTGTTCTCATTCTCTGCAATTGCCCAACATACTCCATGTCCTCCTCTAGGTTTTGGCATATTAAAAGCTGGTTTGAACAAATCAGTTTTATTGTCAGTTTATGCTTCTTCCACCACCCGAGATTCTAATTACGATCCTTCACTCGGTATAACTTTTCCCAAGGCTTATTTCTTTTTATTGTTGAATAAGAAAGTCTAGCAAAGACTCAGTCTCTGGTTGTTCTTGTTCTTCTGCCACAAAAGCACTTAGGATCTAATTGGATGGCGGGTTCTCGAGGGAAGACTTAGAGGGCTTTCTATATACTACGGGTATATGAGATCTCATTATAAATATAAGATTGACATAATATGTGAGCAAATAACATTTCAATCACATATCATTCACTTTATTGGGACATTCTATTTTTGTGAAGATACAAATTAAGCTTCTCATTCAAACCCCTCCAAAACCCTACATCCAGACTCTTACTGCCTGCCAAATTAGTGGTTTAAACATATTAGTTGTCAAATCATTACTTATGTAGTTTTTTTGGCAGAAAGGAGAATTGCGCTTTACCTCAGTGCTATAGGGAGGAAAGTTCTATCTATATATAGATCATTTGGAACATATATTGCTTTTCTCACAATCCTTATCACGGTGTACCTGGTCAGGCCCAATTACCTATCATTCGGGTACATCTTCCTCCTGCTTTTCTGGATCATTGGAAGACAGCTAGGCGAGAAGACGAAACGTCGTGTTTGGTTTCCATTAAAGCTGTATGCAATCATAGTGTTCATTCTCATATACGGGTTGAGTGTCTTTCCCAGTTTTGAAGCATGGATGTGCAGAAAACTTGATCTGTTTGTAAACTTTGGATATAATCCTGATGGCTCAGTTTTTGAAAACGTTTGGCAATCTCTTTCAATCGTGATCGTGATGCAACTTTACAGTTATGAAAGGCGGCAAAGCAAATATTTTCAGTCGGAAGACAATACCTGTCCTGGTCAATTTGGTATACTTGGTGTTGTCAGGAGGTTCCTCATTTGGCACAGTCACAAGATTCTGCTCATTGCACTGTTTTATGCATCATTATCTCCAATAAGTGCGTTTGGGTTTGTTTACCTTCTTGGTATAGTCCTCTGTTCTAATCTACCTAAAGCTTCACGAATCCCGTCCAAAATGTTCCTAGTTTACACAGGAATTCTAGTGGCCACCGAGTATCTGTTTCAGATGTGGGGTAAAGAGACCGGGATGTTTCCTGGACAAAAGCACTATAATTTGTCCCTCTTCTTGGGCCTCCAAGTGTATAAAGAGCACTTTTGGGGTCTTGAGGCAGGTTTAAGGTCCAAAATTTTCATCATTGCTGTGTGTAATCTTCAATACAACGTTTTCCACTGGCTAGAAAACATGCCTGCTTCTCTCTTAGGTGTTGATGGTGGGTTAGAGGAACCTTGCCCCTTGTTTGCCTCGGCAGGTGATATATTGACATCCCCACACACTGGTGAGCTATCCAAGCAAAGGATAGAAGGCATGAATGGCAGCAAGTCATGTGCATACTTCAGCCATCCTCTGTACAGATCATCTGATTATGGGTCTTCTGAAAAAAGTGGACTCTCGGAAAATAGTAGCAGCACCAGAAAGTATTCATTTGGATATCTCTGGGGAAGCATGAAGGAGAGTCATAAGTGGAATAAGAAAAGGATTATTGCCTTGAGAAAGGAAAGGTTTGAGATACAGAAGACAACCTTAAAAGTGTATCTCAAGTTTTGGGTGGAGAATATGTTTAACCTTTTTGGGCTTGAGATCAATATGATTGTGTTGGTTCTTGCCAGCTTTGCTCTGCTTAATGCTATTTCAATGCTTTACATTGCATTACTTGCTGCTTGTGTTCTTTTAGACCGGCACCTCATACGTAAAATATGGCCCTTTTTCGTTATGTTGTTTGCTTCGATTCTTGTAGCCGAATACTTTGCCATGTGGAAGAAGCAGATGCCTTCAGCCCAACCAGATGATGCACACATCCACTGCCATGCCTGCTGGAGAAACTCAGACAGATATTTTGATTTTTGCAAAAAGTGTTGGCTAGGTATCTCTCTTTCCTCCTATGTGCTGACTTTGTAAACAATCATGCTCCTTGAATTTTATATGTGCAATTTGTTTGGTAGGGCTCAATGTTGATGACCCTCGAATCCTGATCAGCTACTTCACAGTCTTTATGGTTGCATGTTTCAAACTCCGCGCAGACCGTGCTTCCAGCTTTTCTGGACTGTTTACATACCGCCAGATGGTTTCTCAGCAGAGGAATTCTTTTGTTTGGAGAGATCTTTCCTTTGAAACCAAAAGCATGTGGACTTTTCTTGACTACTTACGGCTTTACTGCTATTGTCATCTTTTGGATCTTGTGCTGGCATTGATTTTGATAACGGGCACCCTTGAATATGACATTCTTCACCTTGGATACCTTGGTTTCGCTCTAGTCTTCTTCCGGATCAGACTTAAAATACTCAAGCTGAAAAACAAGATATTCAAATACCTACGCATTTACAACTTTGCTGTTATTGTACTCTCTCTTGCCTACCAGTCTCCATTCATTGGTGACTTCAATGCCGGGAAATGTGAAACCATCGATTACATTTATGAGGTGATTGGGTTTTATAAATATGACTATGGGTTTCGGATCACGTCAAGATCGGCTTTGGTTGAGATCATCATCTTCGTTCTGGTTTCCTTGCAATCGTACATGTTTTCCTCCTCGGAGTTTGATTACGTGTTCCGTTATCTTGAGGCAGAACAGATCGGTGCCATTGTATGTGAGCAAGAGAGGAAAGCAGCATGGAAGAAGGCACAGTTGCAGCACATTCGTGAATCCGATGAGAAGAAGCGGCAGAGGAACCTGCAAGTGGAGAAGATGAAGTCTGAGATGCTGAACCTGCAGATCCAACTCCATAGCATGAATTCTCTTGATACTTCCCCTGTTAGTGAAGGCTTGAGGAGACGGAGAAACACTTCTCGCGTGAACTCAGATTTGGTGTGTGATTTGCCTGAATCTCCCGATGCTGAGAGCCCGTTTGCTTCAGAATTAGCAAAGAATCCTATAATAGAATCAACTCTGTGTGAGATAACTGAACTTGAAGAAGAAGAAGAATGTGATAATGCTTTTGCGGATGCGGGAAAGCAAAGGAGAGATCATAGTGGTCAATTGAAGGAGAATCCATTGGCTTCTGCTGTGCAGTTGATAGGAGATGGAGTCTCTCAAGTACAATCAATAGGAAATCTGGCTGTCAACAATATTTTCAGCTTTTTGAACCTCTCTCAAGAAGATTCTGACTCCAATGAGTCTTCTTCAGCCGAAGATGGTCAAAACATGAGGAACAGTGCATACCTGAATCGTGCATCTTCTCTGCAATCTGACAAGAGCAGAACGTCTGAAGCTGCAAGCCTACAAATCGGCAAAATTTTCTCTCATATATGGTTTCAGATGCGTTCCAACAACGATTTCGTCTGTTACTGTTGCTTTCTTCTTGTGTTTCTCTGGAATTTCAGCTTGTTATCAATGGTCTACTTGGCTGCTCTCTTCCTATATGCACTGTGTGTTAATACTGGCCCAAGCTACATCTTCTGGACAGTCATGTTAATATACACAGAGTTTTACATTTTACTTCGGTATCTCTATCAAGTCATCATTCAGCATTGTGGTTTCAGCATTCAGTCTGGCCTTCTTCCCGAGTTGGGCTTTCCTACCAAAAGGATAACATCGTCATTTGTCATCAATTCACTTCCATTGTTTCTGGTGTATTTGTTCACTCTCATACAGAGTTCCATAACTGCAAAAGATGGTGAATGGTTTTCACTGGCGCATGGGAATAGTAGTAAAGGTAGGCTGGTGGATCGGAAAGAAGCTCCCACAGGATCCAGCTGGAGTGAAAAGGTGAAAAAGCTACTTCAGCCATTGATAAACATGATTAGAATAGTGACCAGAAGCTGTTGCAGATACTGGAAGTCACTGATACAGGATGCAGAATCTCCTCCATACTTTGTGCAGCTGTCCATGGATGTGAATGATTGGCCTGAGTATGGGATCCAGCCGGAGAGGATTGAATCCGGAATAAACCAACTGCTGCTACTTGTGCATAATGAGAGATGCAGGAATGAAAACCCCAACCGTTGCTCATGTGTTAGTAGAGTTCAGATCCAGAGCATTGAGAAGAGTGCTGAGAATCCAAACATGGCTTTAGCTGTTTTTGAAGTGGTTTCCTCCTGCCCCCTTACAGAAGAATGCACACCCGACGAGCCATTCAAGTCACTCACTCCCGCGGCTGATGTGGCAAAGGACATTCTTAAGGCACAGCGGGTGGGATTTGTTGAAGATGTTAGATTTCCATACCCTATACTCTCTGTCATTGGAGGGGGAAAAAGAGAGATTGATCTTTATGCCTACATCTTTGGTGCTGATCTCTCTGTGTTTTTCTTGGTTGCTGTTTTCTACCAATCTGTTATAAAAAACAAGAGTGATTTTCTGGATGTTTCCCAGCTAGAGGATCAGTTCCCTAAAGAGTTTGTATTTATGCTGATGGTAAAAACACATTCTTTAAGGCTATGTTTGGAACACAGAGAATAGTAGGGAATGGGGGGGGAATAGCTTTTTGCATAAGTTTAAGTTTCTTAGTCTTTATATAATACTCACTAGAAATGATTGGTTGAGCTTGAACTGGTTTTTTGTCTTCCCCCAAAATTTCTCTCCTTAAAATTCCCCCTCTATTATCCTCCATATTTTGCGGGTTCCAAATGGACACTAAACAATTGTTTTTTTCCCATAACAAGCAAAATGCTTAACATGTAATTATTGGTTTATTTATTCCTAATGCAGGTTATCTTCTTCTTGATGATGGTTGATCGTGTCATATACCTTTCTTCGTTCACCTCGGGGAAAGTGATTTTCTACATATTTAATCTCATTCTTTTCACGTTTTTTGTTACGGAATATGCTTGGAGCACAGATTCTTCACAACAGAGTGCTGCCGGATTTGCCCTTCGTGCAATATATCTCACCAAAGCAGTTTCTTTGGCTTTACAAGCTATCCAAATCCGTTATGGTATTCCCCATAAAAGCACGTTGTATCGCCAGTTTCTAACCAGCACAACTTCAAGAGTCAATTATATTGGCTACCGGCTTTATCGTGCACTCCCATTCCTCTATGAACTTAGATGTGTGCTTGACTGGTCGTGCACTACAACGTCATTGACCATGTATGACTGGCTAAAGGTGAACTCCTCTTCACAAACAAAAAATGAAACATGCTTATATGTTATATTGTAATCTTTAATGTTTATACTTTGAAGGAAGGCTTTGGAGAGCTTCGTATATATCCTAATGAATGGAATGCTTCTAAATCTGAAAACAATTAAAGCATCATCAAAGTGTTATATGAATAACTATATATTTTTCTCATTTTTTTTTATCAAAATCTCAAAGTCTATCAAGTTATTTGCTAAGCCATCCAAGAGCCTTCATCCCCTTAGGGTAGTCTGGATGGAGGGTTTCGGAGAGTACTTTGGAGGTCTTAATCTATATGTTGACATTATTGAAATGTATCTAAAAACAAATAAAAGGTGTTTGAAATGTAATACTACAGGGTAACTAATAAGATCACAAAGTATGTTAATCTTTCAATTTTTAAAAAATCCCAATTGTATATCAAGATATGGACAAAGACATCCAAAACCCTCCATCAAGCAATTCCTTGGTGAATATCTCAGTGCTTTTATTTGTGTACTTTCCACTGAGTATTTAAAGTTCAGGTTCACGCTGCATAATAAGTAGTGTTGAAATCCATGATGCTGATGTTTGGATATCTTTGTATAGCTAGAAGACATCAATGCAAGCTTGTATCTGGTCAAATGTGATGCTGTTCTGAATAGAGCAACACATAAACAGGGAGAGAAGCAGAGCAAGATGACTAAGTTCTGCAATGGAATTTGCTTGTTCTTCGTCTTAATATGTGTCATCTGGACTCCCATGCTGGTAAGTTCCCTTCCTTCCATAAGAAGTTCTGATCTTGTCGCCTTGGGTTGTTATTAATAGACAATATCTTCACCATCTAGATGTATAGCAGTGGTAATCCAACAAACATTGCGAATCCTGTGAACGATGCCAGTGTTCAGTTGGATATCAAGACTGATGGTGGAAGGTTGACACTATATCAAACAGCTCTATGCGAAAGAATCCCATGGGAGTTTCTCAAGAATTCGTCTAACAATCTTGATCCGGATGGGGGTCTTGATGCATATAATGTGTATGACATCCAGTTGATTTGCTGTCAAGCCGACTCTTCTGCAATGTGGCTTGTCCCTGATGTGGTCCAGAGGAGGTTTGTTCAGTCTTTTAACAGCCGTATGGAGATTAAGTTTTCTTGGGTTCTCACTAGAGACAGGCCAAAGGGGAAGGAAGTTGTGAAATATGACATAACTGCTGATCCTCCACAGCCGCTGGAAGTTGAGAGAGCCATAAATGGTTCCACCAGTAGCTTTAGAGTTGAAAATATCTATCCAAGATTCTTTAGAGTGACTGGCTCTGGAGACGTTAGGCCTTTTGAGAAACAGGTATGGTTTAGATTTCGACAGCATATTACAATAATATGAGCTTATATAAATCTGGATTCTTACATTTTTTTTGCAGGAAAATGATGTCAGCGCTGATATTGTTTTGAATCACGGAGTTTCTGATTGGTGGTCCTTCCATGATACAAATTCAATGGATATAAGTGGTTGCGGAGGGTGGATGGGTCCCATGGCCATCATCGTATCTGAAGAAACTCCCCGTGAGTATACTTAATCAATTAGTTTTATCACATGAATTTACATATAATTATGTGTAGAAACGGATTAATTGTTAAACCTTGTCCATAACAAATGTCATATCAAATGTATGAAAGAGGGCTTGCTGGGAGACACACTTAGCAAATTCAGTATCTGGGGTCTCTACATTACATTTGTGCTAGCAGTAGGGCGCTTCATTAGGCTTCAGTGCTCTGACTTGCGGATGAGAATCCCATATGAAAATCTCCCTTCATGCGACAGGTGCGTAAACGAGGGAATAAGGACCTAAAAAACGTTATATTTTGTGATTTAACTGCTTTTTTTTAACCGTGGAACTTACGTGTTTGGCAGATTGATTGCCATTTGTGAGGATATCTATGCTGCGAGAGCTGAGGGTGAGCTTGGAGTTGAGGAGGTTCTGTACTGGACACTGGTTAAGATTTACAGGTCACCCCACATGTTGTTGGAGTATACCAAGCCAGACTAGGAAAAGAAAACTAAGAATTGTAAAAAAAAAAGGAAATTTGCAGGAAAATGCTACTTCAACAGTTTAACATACACCACTAGAGACAATCATGCACAGACAATCACTGTGTGAGACACTGGCATTGTCAACTGTGGTGTGACTATAGTATGACCCCAGATTTGTGGGACTAGTGACCACTAACATATAGCCACCTGATATATGTATAATAACAGCCAATTCTTTGTTCATTTTTTATTCCTTCATTTGTGTAAATATCTATTGATATTATTGTGTAGGTTATTCTTATAGTAATGGTCTATCATATTATGACATTGATCTATTTGAGACTTCTATTAATCTTCATTTGACCTAATGTTCCTCTTATCGTTCTCATTCGTCCCTCAAACCTCCACCCCTTAGTCTACTTGTTCTTGAATGACAATTACTCAAATCTTTAAAATTTGTTAAAAGATGTGAAAAATGCTTGTAAAATATAATTCATTCATGTGTGATGCCTTACCATTTTACTTATTATAAGTATTAATTATATTATTGGGTTAAACTAGGGGTGGAAAAAAATATTGGCCCAATTTTGTACCGAATCAAAAAGAGGTTTTCAAATGGTTCTCGTAAATTATATGTCAAATTGAACTTTTTCAAAATAGTACAAAACAAGTTTTCAAAAATTAAATACCAAAAATACTGAACCAAGTTGTTGCCACTAAAGTATTGAATTAATAATTTAATGATACATCTTCACTTGTTAATTTTCATTTGTAATACTTTATCATCTCAAAATCCAACTGGAATTTTAATTTATTTGTTGAAAATGCAAACTATGATAAAGTTTTTTAAAAAAATTTTTAACTAAGCAATACTCATGTTAAGAAATTATGAAATGGTTAAACATCCCATTATCGAACAACATGATACAGAGTGGGTTTAGGCATAAAACCAAAACCGTACAATATGGATTCTTTAAAAATATCGAACTGATAAATGGTTAAACTAGCCTTCAATAAATTTTTATTTCACAATCTAAACAAATACGAGTAAAAATACTCTTGCAAACATTTGGTTTGATAGTCAAATCCAAAATCTAAACCCATTTGAGAAGCACCATAATTTTTACTACATGAAAATTAAAGCAAGAGAAAACCATGGAATTATTCAAGCAATCATACACCTGTTTATTTTTTTAAAAAAAAAAAGAAAAAAAAAACAAATACTACATGAAAAGAAAAAAAAAGAATTATATTTTGGGCGGAAGGATTTCAAATATTTGGAGAGTTGTCTCTTCTGCTGCTCTACTAAGCTCCAAAATCCTATTCCGACATTTCGCCCCTTTCCTCCATATCCAATAATCCAGGTATTTTCCTCTTCTCTGCTACATTTCAGTCTTCCCTGAGCTTTATCAACTATTCCCGAGCTGGGGTTTCGTCTTGTATCAACTATTGCGTGAGTTGTTTAGATCTATGATTAAAAATCGAGTCTTGAATCTTGCTCCGCTGTTGTTCTATTGCCGATATTTTGTTCATTTGGTAGAGTGCCAGTATGAGTTTCAATAATGTTTTTTTCTATGAAGTGAATGGGGAATCTTGAATCTTGCTCCACTGTTGTTTTATTGCCGATATTTTGTTCATTTGGTTGTGCAGGAAAAGAGTGCCAGTATGAGTTTCAATAATGTTTTTTCCTATGAAGTGAATGGGGTGAGGTATTACTATGAGATGGTGCCTCCACAGCATAATGAGATGCAGCAGCCTCCACAATACAATGACATAGTGCCACCTCAACCTCACTTCTCCGGGATGACATCTGCTGCTGCGTTTCACGGGATGCCGACTCCCGATTCGTTCTACATGATGCCACCTCCTGCTCCATTCCAAGGGATGCCACCTACTGCCCCGTTCCACGGGATGCCACCTACTGCTCCGTTCCAAGGGATGCCACCTACTGCCCCGTTCCACGGGATGCCACCAACTGCTCCGTTCCAAGGGATGCCACCTGCTGCCCCATTCCAAGGGATGCCACCTACTGCTCCATTCCAAGGGATGCCGCCTACTGCCCCGTTCCAAGGGATGCCGCCTGCTGCTTCGTTCCACGAGATGCCACCTGCTGCCCCGTTCCACGGGATGTCACCTGCTGCTTCGTTCCAAGGGATGCCACCTACTGCTTCATTCCATGAGATGCCACCTACTGCTTCGTTCCACGGGATGCCACCTACTGCCCCGTTCCACGGGATGCAACCTGCTGCTTCGTTCCACGGGATGTCAACTGCTGCTCCAACACCAAATTACTTGCCGGATTACAGGAGGTTTTGGGTGGCACTTCAGGTATGTAACTAGGCGCATATAGTTTGTTTGGTTGGTGCTGCCTCATTTTCATGTGTAGTGCTTCTTGTAGGAAAACATAAAACATTGATATATTTAACTACACAATTAGGTACACTACAATGACTCAAAGAGCATTATGATTTAAATAATGTATTCCTCATCTGTCAAATGCTTGACTTGTAACTTTCTTTACTCTGATGAAGTTTTTTTGTTTATTGTTTAGCAAACAATCATCTTTGAGCAAATAATATGTAAGAACTCCACAAAAGTGAAATAGGTTACCATAAACAAAATGGACTTCTTTATCTTTTGTGCCAAATAACCAAAAATGATTAATTTTTCAATCGAAAATATGCATGATTGGTTTCAACTCTTTCAAGTGTACATCTAATTCCTGAACCCAAAATTTGTTCAACTTAGAACATTTTGTGTATGCATGCATCTAAAACGCTAATATGATTTAACATGTGAGAAAAAGTTAGAAATACCTATCATGTGGGCTAATCAATCTTTCTTTCATACAGTACGTGCACTCTTTTTGGTATGTGCATGAGAAATTTTTAAGAAATGACCTAGATGCAGCAGAATGGGCGATTCATGGCATTTGGGCCATTCCTGAGTATGATTGTGGACAAGACTCTGAAATAGAAGTGAACTGGGAGGATCCCATTTTTTCAAATGCGACGCGGCCCTGGAAATCTTTAAGTTTTCGTAGCGACAAAGAGCACATGATAGATGTCTGGTCCATGCATGGCACATTACAAGAATATCCCTTTGGAGAGTACATCTCCATAGGGATCCAAGCATACAACGATCTAAACATACAGGAGAAAGTAATTCAAGCATGTAAGTCTTTTTTTCTTCAACCCAAACTCTTCTTTAGTAATTACTTTTTAAGCTTTGTTAGCAATTCAATTATTAGGCTTAATGATTTTAGTATATTTTTTATCTTGAGCACATTAATTTATAAAGAGTATGTTTCAATCTTTATATCAAAAGCTAAATGGTGAAAGTAGCTACCTCTCAAAAGGTAGCTTGTTTTATTTGTTAGGGAATTTGTTTGCACTTTTGGGTGTTTGCACTGTTTTGAATTGTTGTCTCATTTTTATGACCAAGAAACTATTTCCTATTGTCACATCGTTTCTATCAATAAAATTGAAACTTTCAAGGTCTTACTACCTTACTATTTGAGGACTCTAAGCATATGATTTTGATTGTAGAGGTCTAAGCATTGTGTGCATGTGTGGTATGTTTTGAAATTTGCAACTGAAGTGTGAGAAAGTTCCCGTGATACTGTCCGCCAATGTTATGGGATAATTTGAGGGTGCTCCGGTATCCCATTCGCAAAATTAACGAATCATATCCCTAACTCTCTGGATAAACCCTGCTACCCCGCCCCACCCTCACCTCACCCCCTTCAATTGCACGCCCAAAGTCAAAATTAACTTGGGGGTTCAATTGAAGGGAGTGGGGGGTGTTCGAGTCAGGGCGAGGTGGCAGGGTTTATCAAGAGAGTTAGGGGGTAGGAACCATTAATTTTACGAACAAGACACAAAAGCACTCATATCCCATAACATGGGGTTCTAATATCATGTGAACCCCTGAATGACAAGGTGGTTCTCATGACATTGTTTGGTAATGTAATGGGATGATTCGAGAGTGCTCCAGTGTCTCGTTCATAAAATTAACAGCTCCCACCCCCGGTAAACCCCCCCCCCCCTCCCAACCATGTTCCAACCTGAACGCACCTCTTCAATTGCACCGCCGAGTTATTTGGAGTCAATTTTCTCTTTAATTGCACGACTTTGGAGTCAAAAATTGACCCCAAAGTCAAATTTAACTTAGGTACAATTGAAGAGGGTGGGGGTGTTCGGTCCGACATAGGGTGGAGGGCTTACTAGGGAGTACAAACTATCAATTTTACAAATGAGACACCAAAGTGTCCCCGGATCATCCCATGACATGGAATTTCAATGTCATGAGAACCCCTACAAATGAAGTATTTAAAATTTACAATCATGTGTTTTATGATTTTAAGTTGATATTTTTTCCTTTTTCATGGTTTGTCATACCTAGGGAGTTAGGGGTGTTGTTTTAATCAATTAATCCTCTGTGTTTAGCTAGCATTATACATTTAATAGTATAAGAATATACTTAGTAAAATATATACAGTTAGCAATAGTATAACATTATATCGTTTCATTCTAAAGGGGTACTGTAAAATCGATTCCTAGTTAATAATCAAATCATATTGAACCTATCTAAATAGTGATGATATGGTAACATTCTTAGTAGATTTCTGGAATGTTACAAACTGGACCCACCCCGACATGATATTTCCTCGAATGTTGTTTTTATATAGAAAACTTTATAAATTATAAATTTTCCAACTAACAATGTTTTCATCCAGATGAAATGCTAGATTCAGAGCATAAGGGCATTGAAGACCTTGGCCCAAAAGAAATAGACAAGGGATGGAAGAAAGTGAAGGCCTCAGAGTTCTTTAAAAAGTTGACTCAACTCCTAGGTGCAAAGCCCAAAATAGTAGGGGTGGAGAAAGAAAAATATATGCTTTTGTCTGAAATCAGGCCTCTAATCCTCTACAATCACCTCCAACAAAGCTACAAGTTAGAAGACATCGGTGGACTTTGGAACTCGGGCTTTAATGAAGATGATTGGCTATATCTTTAAATATTTCGTGTACAAAGGGTGGTAGGATTAGTCAAATATTTGAGTAGTCAAGACTTTTGTCTTTGGGCTTGTGTGCTAGCTTATGTTTAGTTTATGTCATGTGGTGAATCTTGCATATACTTGTGAATATTGGCTTTGACACATTCAAGAGTGTTTCTTGGATGTTTCATTGTGTCGTGAAATCTATTGAGAATCATCGTTTTGACCCATGAGTGTTAGAGCTACATTGTGCACACACCCACCTTGAGGCACAAAGTGATTGAGGCACAAATACAATTTCACTCCATTCCCCATTTCCACCATGACCCTCACTTATCCATATTACCCACTTCCTTACCCGAAAAGTATTCTTTGTGCTGATTTTGCTTGATGGAGAGCTCTTGATTGGGAATATTTTTATTGATGTTTGATTCATGTTTAACAATTTGATATTAGTATTTAATTGCACTTTGCACTTGATTCCCAACCAATCACGCTATCCCTGTGGACTCGACATCCCTTATTTCCACCACTATCCTCATTCTATTTACGTTTTCCACATTTCTATTTCACTTCATATCACATCTCTTTTTGATTGAGGGTTTTGCTATCAAATGACGTATCGAAAAATTCTTCGCATAAAAACTGCCGTCGTTGTCAGGGATAGCAACAGTTTTGAGTGCTTTGTGTTAGCTAACATTACTTGAAAGTTGTTAGTGGAGACAAGGCCATTCTTTTTTTGTTTTTCTTGTTTTTTGTCTTCTCTTTGTAGGTGTGCAATCATGGAGGATATTGATTCCATCATTGAAGAGCTTCGTTTGGAGCATGAACTCTATGTTCAAAGTCTTGCTCTTGATCCCACTACTCCCATATTTGAGTGGTCACTTAGTGACTTTGAATATATTCCCATCCACCCGGTAATTTCTTTAGCTTCACAAGCTTCCCTACCTCAACCTAAAGTTCCATATCCTATTTCTTACCCTACATCATCACCTCCTTCTTTACCCATAAACCTTCCAATTTTACCATGTCATCCTCCTTACTTCAATGTACAATATGTTGGTTGGCCTAAAGCTTATCCTACGCCAAACCCATATTACCTTGCCTCTTATCCTTACTACTCTTCCCAAACATTCCCTTGCAATCCTTATCAAAGTGGAGAGGTAGTGGGATCTATAGAGGAAGTTACACCGGTGGAGGAGTACTTGGAGATTATCATTGACAAAGGTAAGGAGTCGGTGATGTTAGGTGCCACACTATCCAAAGAAGAGGAAGAGAGCGACATTCCGTGTGAGCTGGTGGAAGAGACCAAATTGGGTGAGATCATGGATGAGCCAATTAGTTATGAACCCAAACCTCCACCCCTTGATGATCAAGGGAGGCTTGGGCGTAGATTCATCACATGCCTTCGAGAGGCTGGAGCTTCCTTATCCTCCAACCTTCGGTTTGCACTTCTCTACCACTTCTTTTAAATACAAGCCTAACAATACTTACATTGATATGCATCCTCATTGGCTAGACTTTCCATTTGAGGCGGGAGAACACTTTCTCCTGCATTGCTCACTGATTCAGGAGAGGATTTATGTTTCATTTGATCAATCCTTTACTCTCCCGATCATCACCCCCATGTTCACTACCTTTTCAAAACCAAAGGGGGTGTTTCTTGGGAAGCAATTGAAGTTATTTTGGCTTCCCAACTTCAAACGCTTCAAAGGTATTTTCCTAGGGAAGCACCTAAAGGAATTTCTTTTAAAAACAAAATTGTCAAGCGAATGACGTTAAAAGAGCGCTTCTTGGTAGGGGTGCATACAAATCAAATAAAATGTATTCGATTCGTGATTCGTATTCGAAAAGGATGATTCGTATTCGCTATATTCGAATCCGAATACAAATCATATTTTAGATTCGAATTATTTTCGAATTCGAATACAAATATTAATAGATTCGATTCGTTTATTATTCGAATTATTCGAATATTATAAATTATAAATAAATTTATATATATTCTATTATATTAAATATTTGTGTACATATTTTAACATATTTTAATATATTGAATTTTTGTGTGCATATAAATTTATATATATTCGAATATTATAATTTATAAATAAATTTATATATATTCTAACATATTTTTACTACATTTTACATTATTACAAAATAATAATTTAATGTCTTTAAGAAATCTATTTTAAGAAAAAAAATTGCTAATATTTTCGAATTCGAATATTCGAATATGAATTCAAATACATCAAATATCTATCGAATCAAATACGAATGTTTTTTAAAATTCGAATTATATACGAATTCGAATTCGAATACATTTCACTTTAATCGAATACGAATATAATAGTGATATATTTGTTTCGATTCGATTCGTATACACCCCTACTTGGGAGGCAACCCAAGCTTTATTTATTTAATT